TTGGATTGTGACATGTAGATGGCAAAACCAGAAAGCAGAAGTGATTACTAGGAGAGTCGGGGTAGTGGTTATCTCTGTGGGAGATGTGATCTGTGAGGGGCTTCTGGGGCTGGCAGAGTTTATCCTATATAATAAAAGGCTAATATGCAAACAACGGATCAACTGGTCACTATGACGCACACTGACCACCAGGGGGCAGATGCTCTACACAGGAGCTGCCCCCTGGTGGTCAGTGTGCTCCCACAGAGGGAGTGCTGCTCAGCCAGAAGCCGGGCTCATGGCTGGCGAGTGCAGCAGTGGTGGCGGGAGCCTCTCTCACCTCTGTGGCAGCGCTAAGGATGTCCACAGAGGCTCCCAAGGGAAGCGGGCCTAAGCCGTCAGTCAGACATCCCCCAAGGGCTCCCAGACTGAGAGAGGGTGCAGGCTGGGCTGAGGGACCCCCCCGCCCCCCGAGTGCACGAATTTCATGCACCGGGCCTCTAGTTTCTTCATAGGCATGGTGGCTACACGGGTGTTCATTAATTTGTGAAGTTGTCTTGTTGGTGCACTCTCCTGTGTGTCTAGTATTCTAGTTCATAAAGCTAAATGTTGGTTTTTGAGATAGAATAACAAAAACAACAAATAGGAAAAGTTACCAGAAATCCCTTCCCCCCCTCCCGCCCCCCAACCCAGTTACAGCCTCCCTGATTCTCACTGAGATGTAAATGGACTGAGCTGCCCTTTTTCCAGACCCTCCTGACTCACCCTCTTGAGGTGTGTCTGGGAGTGAGTCCATTTCTCACCTTGGAATTATTCCCTGCTCCCTCAGTGTCTGGGCTGAATGCCAAACCTGCAGATGCAGACCTGTAGCCTGAAGCAGATTCTTTCTGTCACCTCTTGGAGGATCATCGACTTCCTATCTTTTCCAGAGCGTGCCTCCTACACTCTCCTCTCCCTGTAGAGATGGACTCCAAGTCATTCATTCGTCGGGTGTTGAGTTCATCTTCCTGTTCCATCTGTGGCTGCCCTGGCCTGGCTGGGTGAGGGGACCCCTGCCTAGGCTTCTAGCCATCTTGGCCAGCTATGTCCTGAGCCACTTTCTCTGCCTTGGAGTGAAGCTTTCTCCCCAGCACTCCAGTTCTAAACCCTCATTCACCCAAACCTCTCTCTCTCTCTCTCTCTCTCTCTCTCTCTCTCTCTCTCTCCCTCTCTCTCTCTCTCTCTCTCTCTCCTTACTTTTCATTCTAACCTCCCTGCCCAAATGTTCCCTAGGCTAATGGACACGTACACATGAACCTTTTAGTGAATAATGATAAATCATCTTCCAGCAAATTTAATACCAATTATCACTCTTTCCAACCGTGTAAACATGTTTATTGCCTTACATCCTTGATAGCACTCATCATTTCTATTTTTAGTCAATACTTTTGAGTTGCTAGGTATACCATGTATCACCTGAGCCGCCTTCTTCTAGTATTTACGCTTGTTATTTCATTTTCTTGTCTGTTCATATTGGCCAACACACCCAGAGCCATGTTAAAGGACTCTGGTGATGGTAGGCACCTGGAGGTTTAATTATTGTATTCATAGCATTTAGGCTTGAAATGTCTTCTTGATCAACTGATCCTTTATCACTGTGGAATAGCCCCCCTTATCCCTGGAAATATTTCTTGCGGGGTTCCCCCCCAATTTCTTTAATAGATACATGACCATTCAGGTTATCTATTTCTTCTTGAATAACTTTGATAATTCTTGTTTTGTGGATCTGACACAAAAAAAGTATAATTTTGATTCATTCACACTGGACGGCTATCGTTGTGTTGGCTGCTGTGATTTTTTAAAATTTGATAATCTAAGGGAAAAGTGGTCAGTGCCCCTGATTAAATAATCAGGTATTGTATGTTGTAAAAATTCCGGTGGCACACCGGTGTGCCGTGGCACACTGGTTGAAAATCACTGTTCTAGAAGAGTTAAAGATACCTGTTCTTTAAATGTTTGGTAGAACTCTCCTGGGAGCAATTCTTTGACAATCTATTGAAATTGGCCTGTTACTATTTCTGTCCCTTCTTGGGTCCTTTTGCTAGTTTGTGTAAGAATAATAAGCTGGGTCCCTGGACCAGCCAAGTCAAGGTCTGTGAGTGCAGTGGCAGCATCAAGGTCACAACCCCCCAGGAACCTGACAGTGCGTATTTTTCATGTCTGCCTTCTATCGTGCAGTATAACACACCTGTCATTCGACCGTGTTGTAACATGGTAGAAATAATATTCAAATAGTAGTTTGGGTTTTTCCCCCCCCACTGATGAGTGAATATACATGCCAGTACAGATATACTACAATTTATTTATCCATTCACTTGTTGATGGACATCTGAATTGTTTTCTGGTTTTGGCTATCCTATATAATAAAAGGCTAACATGCAAATTATCCCCTCAGGGGTTCACCTGACTGGGAGTTAGACCGCTCGCTATGATGTTCGCTGACCACCAGGGGGCAGCGTTGAACAAAGGAAAGCTCTGGCCGGCAGCTAGAAGGCCCCAATCGGCCCTGATCGCTGGCCAGGCCTAGGGACTCTACCCATGCACGAGTTTCATGCACCAGGTCTCTAGTTATGAATAAAAATGCATTGATATTCTTGTGTAGGTATTGTGGACAGATGGTTTTATTTCTCTTAGATAACTACCTAGGAGTGGAATTGCTGGATTATAGGGTGGATGTATGGTGATACCTGCTCATGGTTTTAATGTGCATTTTCCTAATGACAAATTATATTGGGTAAGCATTTTCTCATATGCTTATTGGCTATTTATACATCATCTTTTGTGAGGTGTGTTCACATCTTTTGCCCATTATTTTGGTTATTATTATTATTGAGTTACAGAAGTTCTTTATCGAGTTACAAAGTCCTTTGTCAGGTATATCCGTTATGAATATTTCCTCTCAGTCTTTGGCTCACTTATTTATTTTCTTGATAGTGTTTTTTGATAAACAACAGTTTAAAATTTTGATGAAGTTCATTTATCAACTTTTTTAGGGTCTATGCTTTTTATGTCCTTTCTAAGAAATCTCTGACTACTGAAAAATTGAGAAAACAATCATCTGTATTTTTCTGGAAGGTTTATCAATTTAGTTTACGTTTAGTCCTTCTTAAATTGAATTTTGCATATGGTATGAAGCAGGGTTCCCACCCCCAACACCAGACACACCTGCATGTCTAGCTGTCCCAGCATCCTTTGCTGGTGCCCTTGTCAACACCCATTTGACCCTCTATCAGATGGCTCTTGATATGTATGTAACACTAAGCACCACAGGTAAACTGTCTCCTAGCATGTTTCTTTACTCAAAGTGAAGTCCTAAGACAGGGAGCATCACATCCCCTGGGAGCTTGTTAGAAATCCAGACTCCGGCCCTACACAACCCCTGGGCAACTTCCATCCGGGAAACCCTGGTGTAATGTTTGAGGGAGGAGGGAAAATGTCATGACCCACCTGCTCTGCCACTGACAACACTGACCACCGTCCCGTGCACTGCAGGCCCCTGGTGGGTGGGGGTGGGGGTGGGGAAAGTGGACCCATTTCCTCTCCTTCTCTGTCTTTGCTGCTGGGGGAGAGGCGAGGGTACGCACCCACTCCTTACCCTCTAATACCCCAACCACCTGCTCACTCACCGGGCAGCTCCTGCCCCCTCCTCGGTGCACAGCCGTCCGCCCTGAGCCTGTTTCCTCAGTTACGGAGCTGAGATAATGATGCTCTCTGCCTCAGGGGTCAGTGTGATGCGAGGGGATCTGAGGAGTGCGGGGGGCAGAGGGACAGCACAATAGAAGTCAGTGATCGTCATGCCATTCCCGAGCCTGTCCCCACAAAAGCGCCTGCACACAAGCCTCCCCCTCCGCCTGCACCGGAGCGGAGCTGAGCCTTGCGGTCTCCCAGCCCAACTTGTCCCCCCATGACTTCCCCGCGCCCCGGGCCGCGCCCCGACACGGCTTTCCCAGCGCCTTGCATTGTTACAGAGTTGTCCTCGCGTCTGACCCGCCCCCGCCCCCGCCTGGGAGCCCCTCAAGTCCGGGATCTGTCTCTGTCGTCTCCGGACCCCAGCCCCTGCACAGCGCCGGGCCCTTGGACGGGGCTCCACCGGTGTTTGCAGAATCCCAGGATACGCTAAGCCAGCGCCCACCGCAGTACGCCGGGTGTGTGTGGGCGGCGGGGGCAGAGGGACGCTGGCTGTGTGCCCGGGTTGTGGGGGGACACAGGCGGGGGGAGGGGGGGCCTCGGCAGAGGGCTCCTCGGGGCTCGGGTGGGAGGACCGTGGGGCGGGGGTAGGACGCAGGAGGCGAAGCCTGGGCCAGCAGAGGGCTGGCAGCGCCAGACGCGGCGGGCAGCCTCGCTCCTCCCCCTGCTCCTCCGGCGCCCTCTTCTCCTTCCTCCCCCTCCTCCCCCTCCTCCCCCTCCTCCCCCTCCTCCCCCTCCCCGCGCCTCGCCGCCCCCGCCTCGCCGGTCCTGGCAGGGAGGGGCCGGGAGGCGGAGCCAGCGGCGGCCCAGGCTCCCGGCCCGCGTGGCTCCGGGGCTGGAGCGGAGACTTTGGCGGCGCCCAGGTAGGAACCCGCCGGGAACACACGGGGGACCGGGCCGCGGGGAGGGCCCGGGCGGGGCGCGGAGGATGGGCCGAGACCGCCTCTGTGCCCACCGCAGCCTCGCGGCCCACAGAGCCCCCCGCTGGGGGCAGGGGGAGCGCAGTCCCCGCCCCACGGCTCCGGTCCCCCCTCCCGCACCCCCCACTCCCCTGGCGCCCCGCTCCTTCCCAGCCGCCGGGCATCCTGCGAGACCGCCCCCAGCGCCCCCCAGGTTCCGCTCTCCTCCGCTCAGCCTCGCTCCTTGTTTGTCCCACAGGTTCCTTCTGAAGGCGAGCTGGAGCCTGTGCCTGCCGCCGGGGGGAGAGGCGGGGTGCTGGGCTAGAAGGAGCCAGAGGGCAAGTCCGGCTTGGGGGGGCGGGGGGGGGCGGTGGCTGGAGGGCCGGGCACCATCCTTATGCATCTTAGTGTCCCCCGTGCAGTCGCGGAGGGGCTGGCCCGTGTTTCCGGAATGAATGAATCATTCCTCTCCTCGTCCCCTCCTGAAGGAGGACTTTTTGCGGTCCACGTGCTGCAGAGCAGTTGGGGGGCCTTCTGAGGCAGGGCCCCCCTGCGCTCTCATTGCTCCTCCTCTGTATGCTCTGTTCTCGGGGGAGGCTTCCTTCCGGTTGGGGCTGGGGGGATGGAGGGAAAGGAGGGAGCTTGTAGGCCCAGCCAGATAACTTGTTGAAGGTGTGACAGGCAAGGGACTTGGTTGAGCCTCACAGACGGTCACGGGAGAAGGGGGTGTTGTAGAGGAGAGCGCCCACGGTCAGCCAGGGGCCACGCGTTACTGAATTCCTCTACGCCTCTGTTTCTCCATCAGCAGAGTAATAGTATTAGTATTCGTTCCTCGGGGCCTTGTGCAGATTAAGACAAATGTCAGATGCGATCACCCAGCACCGCGCTGGGCACACTGCAGGGGCTCAGCAAACCGCAGTGTGCTCCCCGCTCTGCAAAAAGTGAGCAGGGTTGTTCGTTCCCGCCCCCTCTGTCCCCACATTGGCCACAGACAGACACAGTAGATGTGTCATCACTGTTTGTTGAATGAATATGCTTGATGGAGCTTCCCCCTCCTCCCCCTCTTCCTCCAGGATCCAGGCAGGCAGGGAGCTGACCAGCACAGACATGCCGGTGCTGTCCGAGGACTCCGGTGAGTGCCCGGCCCAGGCTTGGTCTCCACACCCCGAAGATAAGAAGGAGGGAAAGCAGGCTGCTGTCAGCTGGCTCTCAGGAATGTGAGCCTGGGAGGGCATGTTCACAGGACAGGCTGATGTGTGGTTTGAGGGCCCACTGGGGGTCTCCCTGGGGGTCTCCCTGGGGGTTTCCCTGGGGGTCTCCCTGGGGGTCTCCGTGGACACTTGTGTTTGCTGTACTCTGTTTTCCTTCACTCTGGCAGGCTTGCATGAAACCCTGGCGCTGCTGACCTCTCAACTCAGACCTGACTCCAACCACAAGGAAGAGATGGGCTTCCTGAAGGATGTGTTCAGTGAAAAGAGCCTCAGTTACTTAATGAAGGTAAAGCCCCCTTTCATCCCGTCTTGTGAGGGTTTCTGGAGGTCACCCTGGCCACCCCGCTGCCCCAGGGAGGCCCTCAGGAGCCCTGATGCAGGGCCTTCTCTTAGCTGCCCTGTGGGTGACCCAGTTTGCAGCCCGACAGCCGGGCGGCCGGTGGTGTCCAGGGTAAAGCTAGGCAGCTGGCTTGGGAGGCCCCAGCTGGAAATCGCTGTCTTCGCAGATTCACGAGAAGCTTCGCTATTACGAGAGGCAAAGTCCAACCCCTGTTCTGCACGGCGCCGTGGCCCTCGCCGAAGATGTAAGCCCCAAGTTTCCCCTTCTGGTGTCAGCCTCTCCCCACCCGTAGTGCTCTGTGTTCTTGCCTCATCACCATTGCTTAGCCAGGCGCCTGGGGAGCCCCAAGGTGAAGTGTCTCCTTCCCCCCTCCTTGTCCTCCTCCTCCCTCTCCTCCTCCTCCCTCTCCTCCTCCTTGTCCTCCCCCTCCCCCCTCCTTGTCCTCCTCCTCCCTCTCCTCCTCCTCCTCCCCCTCCCCTCCCCCCCTCCCCCTCCTCCTCCTCCTCCTCCTCTACCCTGGGCCTCCTAACAGGCGGGGAGGAACTCGTGAGCCTTGGACTGGGCTTGGGAACATGGTGACATGATGACGCCCACTTATTGTGTGTTCCCGAGAAAGTCTGCTTCCCCAGCTGTGAAATGAGAGCATTTGGATCAGATCGGCAGCTCCAAGCTGTTGAGGACGGGCAGTAGGAACAGGTCAAACAAGACTGGTGTCTGGAGAGGCCCAATGTGAAGGCCTGGGGGCAGGGACTCACCGTCAGTCCCCGCTTCCTGGCTCAGGCTTCTCGTTGTTTAAAGGAAGGCGTCCTAATTTCCTGTGGGCCTGTCCTCTGTGTTGCATGATTTGGGAAAGCTGTCCCTGTTGCTGACTAAGTTATCCAGCTCCTGGATAAACTCACGTAACCCCCGGAGATGGCCTGCTGGGGGGAGGCCGCAGCCTGTGGGCGCACCTCCCTCTCCTTTCTCCTCCGTGGGATGTGGTGGTGAGCAACATGGCAGGTTGCTAGGCTCCCAGGCACAGCCCTGCCTTCCCTACTAGCTCTGCAACCTTAACCAAGTCACTCAACCTCTCTGAGCCCCAATTTCCTCAATTATAAAAGAATGTAGTGATGAGGGCACAGATAATGGAGCCAGGTAAGCCCAGGTTCAAGTCCTGGCTGTGCCACTTCCGAGCTTTCTGACCTTGGGCAAGATATTTAATCCTTCATTTAATTCTCATCTGTAAAATGGCAAAACAATAGTGCCTGCAACATCTAGTTCATCGTGAGCACTGAGTGAGAAGGCCCACGTAGAGCAACTGACACCCGGGAAGGGCTTCATAAGTTAGTGCCCGTTAGGTTTACCCTGCGAAGCTGCTCAAGCTCTTCTGATCCCTGGTGTGAGTTCCCTGGGAGCATCAGTCCTGGGTGGCTGAGGGTCCCATGTGCCCCTGGGTGCTGTAGCAGCGGCTGGAGGGCTCTTGGGTCTGGGTCCAGGGAGCAGGGTTTTCCCTGGGGACTCCCAGCAGGCGTGAAGCACCCACAGCCACTGTCTCATTGCCCTACAGGTGATGGAGGAGCTGCAGGCCACCTCCGTGCACAGCGACGAGAGGGAGCTGCTCCAGCTGCTGTCCACTCCCCACCTCAGGGTAGTCATGTTGCCGTCCCTGTGTCTCCTGAGCATTCAGTCGTGAAACTGAGGAAAGGGGGCTCCTCAGTGAGGGATCCTAAGTACCAGTGTCGGGGGTGGTTGTCTGGCATGAAATCCGAGACACCCCCCCCCTCTGGGCCAGCCTTTCATTTCTCATGCTTTCCTGACAGGCCATGCTCATGGTGCATGATACGGTTGCTCAGAAGAATTTCGACCCTGTTCTCCCCCCTCTGCCTGACAATATTGATGAGGACTTTGATGAAGAATCAGTGAAGATTGTCCGCCTGGTAAAGAACAAGGAACCCCTGGTATGTGGCACCCCAGCCCCGCCCACTTTCCCTGTTCCACCCAGAAAACTGGGAAGGGACCCTCTTGAAGTCTTTGTAGTGAGTGACAGCAGCGTTGTCCAGGCCGTCACTAGTCCCTGCAACGCTTCTGTGCGCAGGGAACCCCTTTCTTTGGGTGGATACAGCCTCCTTCCACTGTGGCCAAGCTCCTTTGTGCAGTAAATAACCTGCACGACTGTACGGGGCAGCTCTGATCATCGTGCTCTGAACTGGCAAACCACGGTCCAAGGGCCAAAGCCAGATTTTGTCAATAAAGTTTTATTGGCACACAGCCATCCTGTTCCTTTCCGTATTGTCTACCGCTGCCTTTACATTGCAACGGCAGAGTTAAGTAGCTGCACAGGAGGCTATGCGGCCCCCGTGGCCTAAAACACTTACATTTGGCTCTTTACAAACCGGTTGCCAGGCCCTGCTCTGAATCCCGAGGAAGCCCAGGCAGCAGCTATTCTTCTCCCCAACTGACAGACGGTTATCATGCTGGTCCTGGTTCAGCACTGATTACTGGGCAAAGGGACAGGGTTGTTTATTAGAAGGAGGGAAGTAGGGAAGTCCAGAGAATTGAGTGCTTGCCCGGAAGAACACCGCTGCCGGCACTCTCTATAGCCAACTTTCACCAGGTGACCTCAGATGACCCCCTGCTGCAAACAGAGCGAGGTCTCTCCTCTGCCTCTGTTTCCCCTCTTTCCAAACGGAGCAGTCACCCACCAACTGGGCAGACACCTCGTGCACCCTTCTGTGTGCCAGGCACCCTGTTGGGTGCAGGCAGTTCAGAGATGATTAAGACCTGGGAGTTCACAGGAGGTGGTGACTGGGGGCTTCCTGGAAGGGGTGATGCCTGTGCTGAATTCCAACAAAAGTGAGCAGGAATTTTCTAGGAGGAAAAGGGAGAGGGCATTCCACAAAGTAGACTGCACGAGCAAAGCCACGGGAAGGTAAATGGCCTGGAATATTCAGGCCATCGGAGCTGCCTGGTGTGGACATAGAATGCCAACTTTGAGGTACGGAGCGACAGGGGTGAGGCCAGATCAGTGGCAGATCATAAAAGAACCTGCTTGTCCATGCAGAGTTACTTAGCTTGACCTTGAAGGTGGGGGGAGCCACGGAAAGGTTTTAAGGAAGAAATAGCATGGCCGGATGTGCAGTGCAGAAAGATCACACTGGCTACCCAGTGGAAAGCAATCTGGAGAGTGAGGCCCGAAGCAGAAAACCAATTTGAAGGTGGGGGCCAGACCCATGAGGTTCAGAAATGGGGCTTGACCTAGACCCGTGGGAATAGGGAAGAGAAATCCAAGAAATAGTTCAGAAACAAAATGGTTGTCACGTTGTGCCTGCCACTGTTTGGGCAGGAGTCTGGGGAGGCACCTGGGATAATGCCCAGGTGTCCTGCTTGGACGACTGTGTGGTGTTGGGGCCGTAATTCTGGGGAGGAAATAAGAAGGAGCTTAGGCCCCACTGAATTCAAGAGGCCTGTGCGACTGGAACGGGGGTGTCCAGGAGGTGGAAGGATTATGTGTCCAGAGATAACAGACTTGGCAGCCCCCAGCCTGCAGGAGGGGTTAAAATCACACCTGAGAAGTCAACACCTCCTGGGTGAAGAGTTTACAAAGTGAGACATGAAGAGGGCTGGGGCCAGGTCCCAACCCTGTGGTCAGCATTTCAAAGGCAGATAGAGGAGGGCTCAGCAAAGGAGATGACTTGTACTTGAGAAGAACTGGGAGAGAGGTGTCGCCAGGGCCCAGGCTGAGACCGAATTCCAGAGGGAGGGTGAGCGCCAGAGTCAGGCAGGAGGCTGATCGGAGGAGAGCAGGCTGAGGGCTGCAGCTGGCGGGCCATCAGGTGCTTTTGCTGTTGCATCTGAGCTTGCAGGGCTGAGTGACTCTGAGGGCAGGAAGCAGAGAGAGCAGATACACCCTGTTTCTTTAAGAAGCTTGTTCCAAAGGAATGGAGACTGGCTCCTGCTGGATGGGGCTGCAGGCTTTTTATGATGGGAGAGACGTGATAATATTTTCAGGTCCAGGAGAGAAGGGGCATTGAGGATGTAGGAGAGGGAGGGAGGGCAGAGGGACCAGCCTAGACAGGAGGAGCCCCTCCGCTAAGACAGGGAAGGAGGGAGGGGTGGACACATGCTGGGAAGCATGAAGGTCTAGGGGGCAAGAAGCCACAGGGTTCTCAGCTAATGGCCTCTCTTTCCAGCAGCATTTATCTTATGTACTTCAAATAGATGACACAAACAAAGTTAATAAGTGCACCAAAGTGTCTGCAGTTTCAGCCAGTGATAAATGGCTAGCATTTATTGAGCACTTACTGTGTGCTAAGTGCCCTGGATGTTTTACCTAATGTAATCCTTGCACAACCCCGTGAGTTAAATGTTCCCCCGCACCCCAGAGGAAATAGAATCAGAGAGGATAAGGGGCTTCCTTGCTAAGGCCGCATGCTTTTAGTAAATGCCAGCGTGGATTCAAACCCAGGGCTGTCCAACTCCGGAGCTCAGCTCTTGGCCTGACTGCCACCCTGCCCTGCCGCTCACTGTCCAGCCTGTGTGACGCAGGAAATTGAGGGCTTGTTAGACTTTTCTCATCCTAGATCACCTCTCTTCTGTGCTTCATGGACCAAGTCCTGGTCCCGAAGCCCTGGTTGGGGCATAATTGATTCCCTTCGGCAACAGAAGGCCCTGTGATTGGTTAGACGAGGCAGGATGAGAATTTGCTGGCACATACTCTCCTCATTATTAAATGTCTTTGCAAGAGGCAGTGGCTGTGATACGATAGAGAAAGCTCTGGATTCAGCATCACAAAAAGCTTTCCTCCGTCTCGGCTGGGTGACCTTGCGGATGCTTCCCTTCCCTGAGCCCCAGTTCCTCGTGTCTGTGTTACGGTGCTTTGTTTAAACTGTGAAGTGCTGTGCTACACCAATGGGAGATGTCAGTTTTATTGCATCCTCAGCATCGGAAAGGTCCCTTCTGACCTGCCTTCTGAGATGACAGAGGGAGGGATGGGGAGGCTCTGGGGGGTCCAGAGTGTTGGAATCGGAGGTTTGTGGGTGCTTCTGAAGAGCCTGCCTGCTCTGTCTCCCGTGCAGGGCGCCACCATCCGACGGGATGAGCACTCAGGGGCTGTCGTGGTGGCCAGGATCATGCGAGGGGGCGCAGCAGACCGGAGTGGTGAGTGGCATCAATGCCTACCTGGCCAAGGCGATGGCCTTCATCCCCCGGCCTTCCCCCTTTGGCCACGGGTCTCATCTTCCCCTCCTCTGTGGTCACCTGTTTGGGAGGTACTGGGAGTGGGGGAGTGGGGCTGGAATTCTCTTTCACCAGCCTGGTAGAAATTTGAATTGTTTGAAAAATCTCTCAGACATGGAGAGATGAGGGGATCAGGACTCATGCATGCAGCATGGGCTTGGTGGGTAATTTCTAACTGGGGGGCAGGGACACCCTTCCCCCCACCGAGTTGCACTATTGCGGAAGGGAGGGTGCTCATGTCCCAGATTTGTTTGGGTGGGAAAGAAGTTGCAAATCACGGTGTGGGGAAGAACTCCTGAGCCGGAGGCAAACCTCCTGGTGTGGGGAGCATTATCCCCACATCTGGGGATCATGGTGTGGAGGCTCCGAGACCAGAGCTTCTCAAACGTGAGCAAGCACACGACCCCCCTCTCCCCCTGGCCCCAGCATCTTGTTAAAAGGCGATTCTGATTCAGCAGGTCTTAGGTGGGCCCCAGATTCTGCACCCCGCCCGCCTCCTGGGTGCTGCTAACACTGCTGGGCCAGCGTCCGCTTTCAGTAGCAAATAGGGCCCAGTACCCGGAGAGGCTTGTCATGACAGCGGAGGCCAGGATGGTAAAGAGTTAATGCCATTTTTAAAGAAGCAGAGGTTACAGCAGAAAGAACACTGTCTTTCTACATCAAAATGACTGTGTTTGAACACTGGCTCCATTGCTGAGCAGTGTGGCCTGAGGCAAGCTGCATACTTTTTCTGGATCTCAGCTGCCAACTTGTAAACTGGAGGTTTCACCGGGTGGTCGTGAGGCTGTGATGCCGAGTGAGGCAGCCAGCACGCAGTCGGGACTCCGTTCGTCCCGGTCCCAGCGGTGTCCAGAGCTTCGGGCCCCTTTCCTGTGCTAACGGCCGCCCCTGTGTCTCCTAGGCCTGGTCCACGTTGGGGACGAGCTCCGGGAAGTGAACGGGATCACAGTCCTGCACAAGCGGCCCGACGAGATCAGCCAGATTCTGGTCCGTGCTGCACGTGTGCTGGGGGTTTGGTGTTGCTTTGGGGACCAAAGCCGGGGTGGATCTGGCTCAGTCTCCCTGTTTTCGTGGGAGGGCCGCAGGCAAAGTGGCCTTACAGTGCTCCTGGGTGCGGGTGGGGGACAGGAGGAGTTGAGCTTCCAGTCCAGCGGTTCTCAACCTGTGGGTCGCGACCCTTTGGGGGTCAAACAACCCTTTCACAGGGGTCGCCTAAGACCATCGGAAAACACATATATAATTGCATATTGTTTTTGTGATTAATCACTATGTTTTAATTATGTTCAATTTGCAACAATGAAAATACATCCTGCATGTCAGATATTTACATTACGATTCATAGCAGTAGAATTACAGTTATGAAGTAGCAACAAAAATAATTTTATGGTTGGGGGTCACCACAACATGAGGAACTGTACTAAAGGGTCACGGCATTAGGAAGGTTGAGAACCACTGCTCTAGTCCATCTGCCTCTTGAAGACCCTCTCTTCAGTCATTCCCCTGACCTCTAGCTCCCTTTCCTGAGGACCCTTCTGGGAGACCCCCTTCAAAAGGGTCCCCTCTTCTAAAGGACCAAGGAATATGGACTAAGAGGTTGAAGCACAGGGAGGACCCAAGCAAGGGATTTGGGATCAGACAGTCCTGGGTTTGAATCCTGCCTCCGCCACTTCCTAGTGGTGCAACCTTGGGCAAGTCACCCAGTCATTCTGAGTTTTGATTTCCTCTCCTGGAAAGCAAGGACAGGGATGGTTTCTCATCCCATGTGTGGTGATCATTCGGATGTAAACATCTGGAAAAGGATACAGCATTTCACATCTGTGCTGGGATGTAAACAGCCTCCAGAGTCCATTCTGGGAGTTCAGGTCAAAACTGAAATTGTAAAGAGCCCCAGTCATAGTTCTGTCCTCTGTATCCTCAGCATCCTCCCCCGCATGACACTTCTTGCTAACTTTTAAAAAAATAATTGATGTTTTTTTAAAATGTATTTTTATTGATTTCAGAGAGGCAGGGAGAGGGAAAGAGAGATAGAAACATCAATGATGAGAGAGAAGCATTGATCGGCTGCCTCCTGCCCACCCCACACTGGAGATTGAGCCTGCAACCCAGGCATGTGGCCTGACTGGGAATTGAACCCTGACCTCCTGGTTCATAGGTTGACGCTCAACCACTGTGTCACCCTGAGTGGGCAGCTAACTTCTTATGGTTTGGGGGCAGAAGCAGGCTGAGATGTGAAGGAAGAGAGAAGGCTGGCTCTTTAAGGCTGCAGGCAGCCCCTTCAGTCTTCCTGTCTTACAGCCCTTTCCCTGGTTCTGGGCACCGATCTGCTTGTGTTCCAGGGCGATGCAGGGCCAGGGAGACCAGTGAGAGGTTCTCTCATGGGCTGACAGCTTCTTCCTCCTGGGCCCCCCACGTGGGGGTGCAAGGTCTCTGTCAGGCAGAGGGAAGAGGAACCCCTGGGAAGACAGGAGTGGCCTGGGATTGGAGACCCCACTGGGGAAGATGGAAACGAAGAGGAAAGTACTGATTGGGAACCAGCCCCAAATGAGGCAGGAAAGAGGAAAAGGAAACTGGCCCAGGTTATTAAAAATAACCCAAGAGGAAGGAGAGAGGGCAGCCCTGGGGGGCACGAGAGGTCAGGAGGGATGCAGAGCTGGATTCAGTGTATGCATTGTCCTCGGGGTCTCATTTAAAATCTTATGCCCCTTTGTCTGAAATGCAGGTATTGGCTTTTGAGTTTTGCTTTGTTAGTTCAACCAGTGCCACCATAGAAGGGTGGGTCCCAGGGGAGGCAGTGAGTCTGACTTGCCTCTGAACGTGAGTTTTCAGACCTGGGAAGTGAGATGTGAACTCATGAAGGGCTAGACCTGGGTGATGATGAGCCTGTGCTCTCTCTCCTTTCAGGCTCAGTCCCAGGGATCCATCACCCTGAAAATCATCCCAGCCACCCAGGAGGAGGACCGCTTAAAGGAGAGCAAGGTATGGGGGGAGCTGGAGGGCCGGGGAGGGCTCCAGCCCAGCCTTTGAGACGGGCATTTGGGAAGAGATTGTACATCTGGTCCTTGGAACACGTGCTCAGTAGATTGCCATCCTGTCACAAAGTGATTCATTTATTTGTGCCCTGCCTGTCGGTAGACCAGATTCAACCTAGCTTACTAATACATTTTAATTGAAATAGAAAATTGGGGCCATAAAGAGGAGGAGAAGGTACCCAATGTGCTGGCTTTGGGACCAATTAAGTAACTGCCATTTATTTCGCCGTGTAGCCTACCTTTGTGGGGCACCTCCGCTGTGCCAGGTGCTCTGCCAGATGCTGGCGACAGGGTTGATTAGGAGCTTTGAGGCTTCCTAGTTCAGGGGGAGGCCAGGGAGCAAGCCTTTTATTGCCACGTGACAAATGCTATGGAAAGATTCTCTACGGGGTTACAGGTGCCGTGGAAGGTGTTGCACGGGAGGCACGAGAGAGTGAGGCTTGAAGAGGGTGAGATGAGTGGGTCCCTGGTGAAGAAGAGGTGGAAGGAAGTTCAGGCAGAGGGGTCTGCATAGACAGAAGCTCAAAGTAATGGAGAGGAGTATGTACTGGGGTGGGGTCTGGGAGTGAAGTGGGGGAGGTGGGTTAGGGCTGTCTAATGAATTACCTTAAGGCTTGTGTTTTTGTTTTGTGGTTTTTAAAAAATATTTTTATTGATTTCAGAGAGGAAGGGAAAGGGAGAGAGATAGAAACATCAATGTTGAGAGAGAATCATTGATCAGCTACCTCCTGCACACACCCTACTGGGGATCGAGCCCGCAACCCAGGCATGTGCCCTGACCCGGAATTGAACCGCGAACTCCTGGTTCATAGGTTGGCGCTCAACCGTCTGAACCATACCGGCCGGGCTGTGTGTTTTGTGTGTGTGTGTGTGTGTGTGTTTTAAGGGGAGTGATGCAACCATGTTTGTGTTTTAGAAAGCTCCCCAAGGTAGGCACATGGAGGAGGGTGGAGCAGGTGGAGACTGGAGGCAGGGAGACCTGGTTGCAGGCTGTTGTCAAAGCCCAGTGGAGAGGGGGCTGAGACCTGAGCTTAGGGTGGTGGTAGAGAGGACAGATGAGGGCATTCATTAATTTCAAAAACATTTGGATCTGAACTACCCTCGCAGCCAAGGCAGAAATAACATAATGAATTGCATGCTTTTCTTTTAAATATATTTTTATTGATATCAGATAGGATGGGAGAGGGAAAGAGAGAAATATCAATGAGAGAGAATCATTGATTGGCTACCTCCTGCACACCCCCTACTGGAGATCGAGCCCACAACCCAGGCATGTGCCCTTGACCGGAATCGAACCTGGGACCCTTCAGTCCGCAGGCCGACGCTCTATCCACTGAGCCACACCAGCTAGGGCAATTGCATGCTTTTCATCGGTGGAAGGAAGGGAGCATGCCAATGTTTCAAGAAAGCTGATTCCCAGCCCCACCTCCCAGTACTAAGTGCAAGAAAGAGGGTCATTCCAGCACCTGGCACAGAATAGATGTCAATAAATATCTTGATGAATAGGATTAACAATGGACATTGTGTTTGATGTCAGTTTTTTTTTGTTGTTTTTTAACAAATGAAGAAATAAGGTGTTTGTGGCTAGTTTCTTATTTGCACTCTTCCATTGCATCCCAGGGCAGCCATATATGGGCTCTCACCTGATGCAAGGTGGTTCTTTCTGGAATGAGTTAATGTGGTCTCCAGATGCAGCTGCTGAAGGTTTTCACTTGATACAGGGAGAGAACCTGGTTTTCCAGTCCCTTAGCTCATCCTTCCTAAGTATTTCTTCTTGAGCCAGAAGCTTGATCTGGGTTGTCCATTGAGGATTATACTCTTCTGAGTGTTTGGGACCCTGGTGACACCGGTGGCTTGATGAGGGTATCTGTCCTCGCAGTACCTGGCCAGAAGGTTCTTACTGTGGGCTACTAGCCGAATCCTTTCTGGAGGGCATAAAAGAATATGATTTGAATCTGTCTAAGGCAGTGATTTTCAACCAGTGTGCTGCCAGAATTTATTTATTTATTTCATTTTTTGCTGACAGAATTTTTACAACATGCAATACCTGACTATTTAGTCAGGGGCACTGACCTCTTCTCCCTTAGATTGTCAAATAAAAATATGACAACAGCCAACACAACAATAGCCATCCAGTGTGAATGAATCAAAATTATACCTATTTTGTTTTTCAGATTGGCCAAAAATAAAATATTTTTTGTGTGTGCCACAGAATTTTAGTACTTAGTTTATGTGTGCCCTGAGATGAAAAAGGTTGAGAATCACTGCCCTAAGGAAGCCCTCTGGCCTTTTTTTGGGGGGGGGGTCTATTTGCTGTTAAGTAATTGGGCCCAAATAGAAATAAATAAACCCATGCCACTGAATTATAGAAGAGAACCAGGAAGTGTGACAAAATGCTGTGTCTCCCCACCATCTTCTCTGGAGGGGGTGACTTCAAGGTAAAGGGGAGAGTTGGGGGTTAGCCAAACGTGTGACAGATGAGTCAGGATTGAACTGTAAAAAATGTGGGCGTCAAGTACCCACTGAGAAATGATGGTGAGGAGTCAGTAGCAGTAGTTTTATTGGGATTTGTGTTCTTACCAAACATCTAGATCACTTATTTAACAGATGGCTGCTGCCTTCATTAGGGGCAGTTAGCATATCAGAAATCACATTTGAATGACGGATTGTGCTTGCCTTTACTTTTTGTCCCCAGGACTAATTGTTCATTGTGTATGCTGAGCACAGCAGATCAGGTAATTAAGGAAACGTTTAGGTTGGAGAAAGATATTCAGACATGGGGCCCATCTGTTAATTTTCTGATTCTTGAGGGATTTCCTGACTCTAATATCCAAAATGGTTGAAGAACAATAAGAAAATATGTGCAGTATGTTTCTGATTAGCTAGCTATTCTCAAGGCTGCTTATGCCTTCTAACGGTGAACGGTAGTTGTCATTTGACTTTCAATGTGGCATAGACATGTCCATGTCTCCACGATGAAGGGTCGCCTCACCCAGCCCGTCCCGTGCAGGTGTTCATGCGGGCCCTCTTCCACTACAACCCGCGGGAGGACCGGGCCATTCCCTGCCAGGAGGCAGGCCTGCCCTTCCAGCGCAGGCAGGTCCTGGAGGTGGTGAGCCAGGATGACCCTACGTGGTGGCAGGCCAAGCGAGTGGGGGACACCAACCTTCGAGCCGGCCTTATTCCCTCCAAGCAGTTCCAGGAAAGGTGGGTCTGGGGGTGATGCAAGGGGGTGGTTCTGGAGTGGCAGAGGAATGGGTACATGGCAAACCCACGAATCTCTGCACCACAGCCAGAGGGACACACTGTGTGTTGTTCCCTGAGGTAAGTACCAATTGTACTTGTGTTTGTCCTTCTTGACCCATAACCAGTGGCGATGACTGTTTGAGATTTAAAGAAATGCAGTAGGTCCTCGGGTTACGTTGGAGATATGTTCCTATGGTGCGACATAACGCGATTTTCGCCGTAAGTCAGAACCCACCTACATAAGCACCTACGTCACTCACAGGGAGCACATACACAGCAGTAATGAAGTGAAACAGCAAAAAAAAAAAAAAATTTGAAAGAAAGATAACAATTCCTGACCTTTACTTGTGGTAAATAAATAATAAAAAACATAAAGCACTCATGTACATACGTCGAAATGACGGAACTTTTTTTTTTATAAATAAATGGAGATGGCGACGTAACCACGGAATGACATGACGTCGAATCCAACGTAACCCAAGGACTGTCTGTATATGGAAATCTCTGTTATTAATGTATATTGCATAATACATTCTTAGAGAAAGTTGACAAATAAACTATAAAAATATGGAAGAAGAGGACAAGGAAAAGAAAACTACCCAAAGTCTCACCACCATCTAAACTACATAATTATTTCCTTTTGTGCTTTTTACATGAGTGTTTTGAGATCTTGCTTTTTTTTTTTTTTTAACTATACATTTTGACGCCAGCATTTTCCACATATTGCCTATTAGTTATTGTGTGAGTGTAGTGGCTACGTACTAGTTCATCAGGAGCGACACCATTCATTCATAGGCAGCATGAATGGATTTGTTGTGAATGGAGCTGGCCTGTGCTGGGCATCCTGTGGGCTGCTGTGAACCCCTGTTTTCTGCCCTGGAGGAGCTTACAGTTTAGCTGGAAAGCTACCCCTTCTCCACCTTTCAATCTTCTCCTGTGTTTCACAGCTACAAGCCTGCAATTGTTATCTTGCACATAGACTATCCCTCACATTTCAAATTATTTTCCTAGGATAGATTTCCAGAAGTGTGAGTTCTGGGTCAGAGGGGCTGGCAGTTAAGACGGCATCGGCCTCGCCTGAGGTTTGAAGTCCTATAGACTTCGCTCATGCGTTTCAGTGGTCCCCAGCCAGGACGGCGGCGTCCCCTGAGAACCTGTGGGAAGTGCAGGTTCCTGGGCCCAGCCCCAGACCTGCTGGGTCGGAAGGTCCGAGGTGGGCTCTGCGCTCTTTGTTCTCACCGAGGTTCCAGGCGATTCTGAGGTGCTGCAGCTTGAGAACCAGCTCTCTTTCCTCAGGGGAGCCTCACACCCATCTGCATCTTTGGCTTCACAGGTCTTGGGGGCGGGGGGGGGGGGGGGGGAGGCTCTTTAGCTGCATTCAGATGTGGAAATCGAAACACCTCTGAGAGCCCTGGCGTTTTCTCAGTCGGAGGTGAGACCTTGGCAGCTGCCTCTCCACTGACAACCCGGCTGGATGATGTGTCTGGCTGAGGTCTCCGTTGGGAGAAGGGCGTTAAGTCAGGGTCACGTTCACCCTCAGCCTCTCCTGAGAGTCCTGCTATTTTCCAGCTTCCTCGGAATGGAGGCCAGGAGAGAGGAGAGGGGGCCTCCCTTTCTTGAGAATCGGCCGTAGGACAGTAACAACCAACTGCTGACCCGGGCACTGGGCTGGATCCCTGTGTGACCTTTAGGGCTGGGCAGGCGTCTTCCAGAGCAGGAGACTCCGTGTCTTTCCTGTGAACCAGTGCGTGTCCCTCTTCCCTGGAACTCGGTGCGATGCCGGAGGCCCTCAGGCTGCCAGGCTGTGCCCACCTGTAGGATCCAGCATCAGTTTCTCCAAGTTTTCTGTAAGACCCCCCTGACTGGTTCCGTGGCCAAGCTCATGGGCCTGTCCATCTCCTTGTCCATAGGCGCCTAAGCTACCGGAGAGCCACAGGCACCCTGCCGAGCCCCCAGAGCCTCAAGAAGCCCCCCTGTGAGTAGATTGGCAGGGATGGTACTTAAGGGAGGGGCCGGGGTTAGAACTTGGGGGCTTTGTGCCAAGAAGAAGCAGGCGCTGGGCAGGAGGCAGCACCAAGGGCCTTCTCTGACCTCCCAGCCTCCAGAGGAAGGAGGGAGTGGGGAGAGGGGTGAGGAGAGGAAATGGGGGTTAAGTTGGGGGGAGCTATTCCCTGGAGAGGAGCTCATGGATGACATTAGGGGGCAAATTATCACCTCTCCCAAAATTGTGTGCAAATGTGTGTGTGTGGTATGTCTGTGTGTGTGTCTGACTGTTGGTCTGTGTCTGGGAGAAGGTCCACAGCTTTCATTAGATGCCCAAGGGGCACACTGGCCCTGTCCATTTAGGAACCTCGGATTTGGGGAGACAGCTCTGGAGATCCTGTGCTTCTGTGTTAGGGATCAGATTTGGCAAATAAAAACCAAGATGTTCAATTAATTTTGAATTTCATATAAACAACAAGTCATTTCTTTGCATAAATACACGTGTCCCAAATACTGCATGGGCTATACGTCTACTAAATGCCGACTCCTTGTTTTTGTGAAATTCAAACTTAGCCCATTTAGCCCAGTGTTTTGTATTTTTTCTGCCAACTCCACTCCGCGTAGCACTTTACCTTTTAGAAAACACATCCACTGACCTTCTTCCTTGTAATCGTCACAACAGCCTGTGAAGCAGGGGGCTCAGAGCACCTCCTTTTCCAAGATGGAAAACAGAGGCCCCTGAGGCCAAGGGAGTGGGACGAGGGGGGCCTGTGATCAGGGGCCCAGGGAGGGCCTGGAGAGGAAGACGCTTGCCCGCTGCGGGCTCCTAGAGCAAGCTGCTCCCCTGGCTTGGCGGCTGCTGCCCACGCCCACTCCTCTACACCCTCTACACCCTCTACATGTGCTCTCCATCAAAGGGCTGCTGAATAAATTGGCCTTGAGGCTGCTTACGCCAGCGATGAGCTGGCTTTCTTTGAGCTGCTAATGAGACACACACAGGAAGACTAATTAGAGCAAGTCCTGGTTTAATAACGCAGCCCAGCTCGGATCACAGGTTTGCCGGAGGAGAGAGAGGGGGGACAGATGGAGGGCTCCTCAGGCACATGAGGCCATGGCTGTCTCGCGGCCGCAGGGCCTCCTGTTCCCCTCCGCTAACGCTGTTCCATCTGTCTTTTGTGCAAACCGCAGATGATCAGCCTTGTGACAAAGGTAGGCCTGGCATTTGTCCCCTGTGTGCATGGACAAGGCCCCTTTTCTGTGGAATGTTTCGGGCCGGAGGGGCTTGTTTCCCCCCCACCCCCAACTCTGGGGTGGCTGTGCCCTCCTGCTCTTTGCCCACCTCTCCCTGCTCTGCCAGCTGGTCCAGCCTGCTCCTTGAGGCTGCAGAGCTGGTGGGGACAGGGCTCCGCCTTCCTAGGACTCTGGCTGGGCTGATTGTAACTGGCTGGGTAGGAGGCACGAGACAGGAGCGGGGCAGGGCTAGTGAACCTTCCCTCCTTATTCACAGGGATCCTGACTCAGGGACTGGGATGGGGTCTGCTGGCCCAGAACCTGCTAGGGCCTGGAAAAGTTACTTGAGGAATTAGCATGGAGAACTGAGCTAAACAGAAGAACTTGTTTTTTTTTGGGGGGGGGGGGGCAGGACATGGGATTTCTCCTGAGCCCCCCGAAACATGATCCCAGAGGGCTCTTCCTGACCATCCAGGGGCCGGCACCTCTGGGCTTGGGTCTGTGCCCAGAATGGCTCACTGGACTCCTTCTCTGTTTGATTCGCAGAGACCTGTGACTGTGAGGGGTACCTCAAAGGGCATTATGTGGGTAAGTAGCAGAGAGATCCTGGGACAAATGTCTTCCCCCAACATCCTCTTCTGCGCCATGCACAGCCCACCACAGGCTCCCGGGGCAGGGAGAGGCAGAAGCAAAGCCATCTGAGTGCCCAGCTGGGGCCTGTGGGACCCACATTCCCCTCCATCTGTCAGCAGAGGAGGGACTGGCCTGCCCAGGCCTTGCCTGCCACCTCAACGTTCACCAGCTGCTGACAGCCGAGCCCTGACATGGACCCTCCATTAATACTGATTGTACTAGTCTTGTGATCTCAACTGCAGTTTATTCAGTGGTTACGCCACCACCGTACCATAAAGGAGCCTCTTACTAGTTTCCCAAGCACCTTCGCTTCTTGCATTTTGGTCAGTCTTTTGAGAGACCTGAGAGGCAGGCAAAGAGTTTTTTTAACTTTTGATTGGGAAGTAATTTCAAACTTACTGACAGGTTGTAAGAATTGTATAAAGAACTTCTGCACCCAGATTCACCAGCTGGTTTCTGCCACGTTTGCTGTATCATTTCCGTTTTCTACATATATGCATCTTGTCCTGAGTCGTGGGAGAGTTCGCCACAGACAGCTTGTCCCTTCACCCTTAAATACCTCGGCATGTGGTCCCTAAGGACAAGGACATTCTCTTATATAACCCAGGGCAATCATCACACTCTGGGAGTTTAACATGCACACAATTCTATTATATGCGTGTTTATATATAATACCGTTTATATTAAAATGTTGCTGACTGTCCCAACAACATCCTTTGCAGCGGTTCTCAACCTGTGGGTCGCGACCCCTTTGGCGGTCACACTACCCTTTCACAGGGGTCGCCTAAGACCATCCTGCATATCAGATATTTACATGACGATTCATAACAGTAGCAACATGACAGTTATGAAGTAGCAACGAAAATAACTTTATGGTTGGGTCACAACATGAGGAACTGTATTTAAAGGGCCAGAAGGTTGAGAGCCACTGCTTTAGAGCCTTTTCCCCTGACCCGGGACCCAATCCACACATTGCATTTGTAGATTTATATTTCCGTTTCACAAATAAGGAAAGTGAGGCTCGGAGAGGTGATGACCTACTCAAGGTCAGTCACATGCCAAGTAAAACAGGGACCTGGGACCCTACTTTTGGATGCCGGGTGGTCACCCTTTCACCATGTTACTGTGTGTCTTGATCAACCCCCTTCTGTATCAGGAGGAGGTTGGGAGAGGCCAGTGGGCCTCAGACCCACCTCCAGGTTAGGCCAGGTGGGAAGAGTCTTAAGTGGGAGGTGCTGGGACAAATGTCAGGTGTCCCCTGCCCTTCCCCGAAAGCTGGTCTTCGAAGGAGCTTCCGGCTGGGCCGCAGGGAGAGACTGGGAAGCCCGCAGGAAGGAAAGACGTCTGCAGGAACAGAGCCTCTGGAGCTGCTGACCTATGAGGAGGTGGCCAGGTACCAGCACCAACCCAGTAAGCGGCCCCGCCTGGTGGTTCTGATCGGTAGGTGATGCTGCCTCCCCAGGGTGTGGGCTGGTCTCCTCCCCGGAGGAGCGGGGAGGGAGCTCCGCAGGGTCTCTGGTCAGCCTTCCCTTCATTTCCCAGGGTCTCTGGGAGCCCGGCTGCACGAGCTGAAGCAGAAGGTGGTGGCAGAGAGCCCACAGCACTTCGGTGTTGCTGTTCCACGTAAGAGGGCTGGTGGGGGAGAGGGCGAGGAGAGGGCCCTACACGTGAATATTTCATGGGGCCTGACTCCCTGTATCCATCCTCATCCTTATTTGGGGTCTGAGGGACTGCCAAGCACCACCTGCTATGAGCAGATCATGGGACCTGGGCATGATGGGAATGGCCCACTCTGAGTGGTCCACTAGGACCCGCTGAGGCAGAAGCTGGAGGACAATAGAATTGTATGCATGTTAAACTCCCAGAACTGAATTGGCTTGGTTCCTGCCTGGGATGGGAGGTAAGTCTAGAGCACATTGCAGGCAAAGTAGCAACCTCAAGCGAACACCAAGGGGGCTCCCGCCTCCTTTTCCAAATGGCTCTGACTGCTGTGGCCCCTGCTGTCTGCTGGGTAAGAGAGCAGGGCGGGGAAGCCAGAGAGCCAGCGAGCAGCATTGCCTGGGCTCTCTCTTGTAGCTGGATTTGGCCCATCAGGGTGGCTCCTGAGTCTAGAGGCAGACAGGGATGCTGAAATCCAATAGGCAGATTGGATGTGATGAGAAAGAGGAGAATGAAGAGTGCCAGGACCTACACCAGGAGCTCTTCTGTGACTAACTTGGTCAGCCTTCCTAGTGCCCCTGAGACGAGGGATTATTATCATCCCATACTACAGAGGAAGACGCTGAGGCTCAGAGGGGTTAAGTAACTTGCCCAACATCACACTGTTGGTAAATAGTGGAGCCAAGATTCAAACCCAGGCAGCCTGCTCCAGTTGCATTTTTTTTTTAAAATACATTTTATTGATTTTTTACAGAGAGGAGGGGAAAGGGATAGAGAGTTAGAAACATCGATGAGAGAGAAACATCGATCAGCTGCCTCCTGCACACTTCCCACTGGGGATGTGCCCGCAACTAAGGTACATGCTCTTGACCGGAGTCGAACCTGGGATCTTTCAGTCTGCAGGCCGATGCTCTATCCACTGAGCCAAACCGGCCAGGGCTCCAGTCGCATTCTTAACCAGGCCGCATGACAGCCTGCCTCTCCCTGCCCTTTCCGTCCTGTGGGACTCTGTCCATCCCTTGGTCTCTGCAGGATACAGTGTTGGCACCTGGTGGCCGCCAAGGGGGGATGCTGTGGTGGTGGTGATGGGACTTTTTCAGAATGTTCTGAGGAAGGGCCGCTACAAAGCCCCTGGGCCTTGGGGCCCATAGCCCCGTCTGTGGGTTGTCAGAATTGTCTCACAGAGCCCAACCTGAAATGGCAGGGGTGGGGATGGGGATGGGGTGTGGGGTTGGGAGGCCATTCTGGCAACACATCGGTAATGGACCTGGTAGGTTTCAGGGAGCCACGGTCTTCCAGACTGATAGGATGGACCGAAACAGGACATGTGGAACTTGCTCACACATCGGTCCTTTGAAACCCTCAGACCCACCCCTTGGGGGAAGGGTACCTGGATGGTCAGGCCTACCTGCTTCCAGGTACCACACAGAAAGGTGACTCTCCCCCTGGCGTTTAGGAGCTGGGGAGTTAGTGAAGGCTTCCTAGAGGCAGTGACCTTTATGCTGGGTTTTGAAGAGTAAATAGGAGTTTTCCAGGCAGAGAAGAAAGGAAGAATTCTCTCTGCAGAGGGAACACGTGCAAGGGGTGAAGGTGTGACAGGCGGAGCCGTGTCGGGGGCTGGGGAAGCTGGTGTGGAGGATGTCGGGGAGATGAAGCTGAGTCGGAGGCTGGGCGGATCACGAGGGTCCCCTATGCTCATCTAAGGTCTTTAGACGTAATCAGTGGGTGAATAAACATTTAGAGCAAGGGAATGACATGGTCAGGAAAGCGACCCCAGCGGCTCTGCCAGAGGTTGGCCAAAGGCACCACATCTAGAATGCAGAGCATCTCCCTGGTGCCTCCCCCCTTTTCTCTTGGGATGCGCAGGAAACGCTGTGTGTTGCCTCATGTGTGCTCTTGTGCTGGGGCGGACCCGTTTCCCCCCAGGAGTGTGCATCTCAATTCTGTTAGGGAAATCCAGCAGAAACTCTATGTGCTATGAAATTGTGTGAGAAGCGACATCTCCTCCATAAAGGGACGGTCTGCGTGTCTCCTTTCTCTCAAAATGAGAAATACTTGAATCAAGGATTGAAAGCAGACAGTAAGGTTACCTATATTGGTGCCTCCTCTGCTCTCAAAAGCAATTAGGACGAGGGGCTCATGAAAGGTTAGGCCTGGGGATCTTCCCCGTGGTTCCTTGGAAGCCACAGCATCAAGGAGGCAGTTTGGCCGTGTGCTCAGGGCCCACACTTGGCAGGAGACAGAGTTCAGACCTTGGCTCTGCTACCTGCCGCCTCTGGGCCGGTGACATGGTGCTTCACCTCTCTGCATGTCTCTGTGTCCTTTCCTGCAAGATGGGAGGCCTCTTGCCTCCATCAGAGAGTGGGTGAACCAGCGGTCCGCCTGGAAAGGGCCCTGTGCCTGACACGGAGACGCTGGCTGGATGGAAGACGTTGCTTTATGTACAAAGCATCAGTGAACTCCGAATGAGGGCACAGGCTCCCTGCTGTTCGCACTCACTGTCATGTGACATCTCCTTGCGTAGCTTGCCTTGTTCTTTCTTTAAAAGATACCACCAGACCCCGGAAGAGCCATGAGAAGGAGGGGGTGGAGTATCACTTTGTCTCTAAGCAAGCATTCGAGGCCGGCATACATCACAACAGGTACGTCTGCTGGGTGGGCCAGCTGGCCCTCGGTGCGGGTGCGGGTCTTTGCATCTGCCTCATGTTCCACTTGACCCCCAGGAGGGCTTCCAGGGAAGGCGGAGGAGGGGAGAGAATCGTGGTGGAAGTCCGTTCATGTTTCTGTGCCAATTTGGGCGAGCTCGGGAACTGCGGGCCTTTTCCCCTTTGGTGTTTTAGGTTCCTGGAGCATGGGGAATATAAGGAAAATCTCTACGGGACCAGCCTGGATGCCATTCACGCTGTGATGGCCAAAAACAAAGTTTGTTTGGTGGACGTAGAGCCGGACGTGAGTTCCTGGGCCAGTTGGGCATGTTTTATTCATGGAATTTATAAACTAGAGGGTTGTACATTTTACAGCATATCTGACCTCAGTTTAAGGGAGTTTTATTAGTCTAGAGCAGGGGTCCTCAAACTACGGCCTGCGGGCCACATGCAAATACAAATATTGTATTTGTTCCCGTTTTGTTTTTTTACTTCAAAATAAGATATGTGCAGTGTGCATAGGAATTTGTTCATAGTTTTTTTTTAAACTATAGTCCGGCCCTCCAACGGTCTGAGGGACAGTGAACTGGCCCCCTGTTTAAAAAGTTTGAGGACCCCTGGCCTAGAGCACTGGATATTAAAATTTCTTGGGGTCACCCTTTGAGAAGCTAATGAAAGCTTTGCATCCCAAAATATGCACCTCTATACACCAAAACTGCATTAACATTGTAGGGAGTCATGGACCCCTTGGCAGCCAGAGACCCGGGATAGGACTCTGCATGGAGTAAGTCATGCAGTCGAGGGCGGCGCCGACTGGCCCGTTGCGATGGGACAGGAAATTAGATGTCAGTGCCCAGCTGGAGGCTGGGACTCAGCTCTTCGCACAGCAAACCTCTTCCTTGAACAGGACAAGTGAAGTCAGTGGCGTGGGAACCACCGAGGGAGGTGGTCGGGAGAACAGTTTGAAAGGGAAAAGGGGGAGACACGTCTCTGTGAAGCACTTCAAAAACCCTTTCAGTCTTGCACACCCTGCCTGCTGTGTACTCGACAGGGGCTGACCCATCTTTTTCACCTTGTCTTTGAGAAACACTTCTAAGCTTTGACCTCAACCTGGAGATTTTTTATTCCTCTATAGAAATAGCACTCTGGTTTGGATATAAGCTATAGGCTTTATTTTATAGAAGTTTGCTTGAAACAAATTCCAAAAAGCACATTATATATAAGGAAAACCCTCCCTCATTTGGAGTTACTGGGAGTTGGCAGTCAAAATTTCAGGATTTTATTTGGAAAGTGATTTTTATTGTTTTGGCTGCAAATTGTGCATATAGCAGTTTAATGCCAGTGTTTCCAGACAGAGGCCCTTAAGATACAATGCACTAATAGGACGTTTGTATATTGAAAACCTCCTAGAGTCTTCACAATTTGTTTCGAGTTCTTAGTCTCTTCATTTGCTTAGCAGACCTTTTCTTTGACTATCAGTAGGCGGTTTGGGCGATAGCACACATTCCGAATTGGCGTAGTCCAAGTTGATGACTAAATAGATACACAGTGAGTCCTGCTGGCTCACCCGTCAGGCCTGGGCAGGCAGAGAAGGGCATAAGGAGGTTAGTTCGAGCTCGTGGGGTCAGCGCCAAGAGAGATGACAACTCTGGGAGCAGAGGCTTCGGAACCTCCCATCTCAGCAAGTGGGCCTCCAGGCCGCCAGTTGAGCCCACAGTCAACGTGGAGAGTGAGGAAATGAGCAGAAGAGGAGAATGCCCAGCTGCAGTTCATTGTCATATGGCCATATAGTCGGAACCTTTACCATTGAGGTCCTGTGGTGAAGCACACCATTATGGAGCATTTGAAAATTATGTTTCACAGTAAAATATTTTCAAAGTATATAATACTCCTGAACTTGTCTTCACAGGCACTGAGACAACTGAGGACCTCAGAGTTCAAGCCCTATATTATATTTGTAAAGCCTGCAATTCAGGAAAAAAGGAAGATGCCACCCATGTCCCCAGCTTGTGAGGACATAGCAGCCCCTCTTGTAAGTTTAAAATTGGTCATTTCTTTCATGCTTTTTAAAAAATATGTTTTTATTGATTTTAGAGAAGAAGGGGGAGAGAGAGAGCTAAAACATCAATGATGAGAGAATCATTGATTGGCTGCCTCCTGCACGGCCCCTACTTGGGACCCATGCATGTGCCCTTGACCATAATCAAACCCGGGACCCTTCAGTCCACAGGCCAACACTCTATCCACTGAGCCAAACCATAGAAGGCTAAAATTGGTCATTTCTTTTCTAAAGGCCCAACAGGGCCTGTTACCTTATATATAAGGGTGCTTGTACCTCCTGCCAAAGGCCATCTTTCCATTTTGCCTATTGGTCAGAGTTCCTTGATCAGTGACCAGACGGCCCAGGTGGGGCAGCCGGAGCTGCCTCCCGGTTTAGATAGGGGCGGCTTTGTCTGGGTTCCACACCTGCCCTCCCTGAGAATAGGTACCTGAATGTCACAAACCACACAAATCTGTTGAACTAAGCCAGACCCAAGTAGTTTTAATTGACACTTTCATTAAAACCCAGTCCAGACCCAGTAAGCTAATCCAACATGGGGCAACAGGCAGCATGAGGGGAGCCTTGCCCACCTGCTGGCTGTTCAGGTCTGTGACTCTTGCTGAAGCTGCAGGTGGTTGGACGGTCCACCTTTGCAGGCCAGGAAAAGGATGCAGGGGATTTGTGGCTGCAAAACAAATATCACACATTTCACTCCATTAGAGATTTGAGTTCTTTCAAGATGCGAATATTCCTTAGGAAGATGGAGGTACTTATGGCAAAAATGTTCCTTCTGCCATTTCTCAAGTAGCTAAATGCTTCCAGGGTGAGCAGCGAGGGGCCTGGAGGAGGGGAAACTCCGGCAGCAACAGACTGACAGGCTACAGGATGTGTGTATAGAGGGAGGGAGAGGTGGGGTTGAAGATCCAGGGGCGGCACTGGGTTACTGTGGTGCGCCTTTGAGTACCAGAGGGGCCCTGCAAGATCCAGTATAGGACTGGGAAGCTTCTCCAAATTTCATCTAGCTTTTTCCCTCCTGGGGGAAGGAGGAGGAGGAATGATCTGAGTCTTCTCTTAGGTCTCAGCCGTCTTAGCAGGTAAGAACTGTTCCCTCGCCCTGTAGAACATAACTTCCGAAACTGCAGGCGCCCTCCCTGAAGCAGGAATCAGGTTTTGAATGGTGACAGAGAGAAGAGGAGGAGGGACTTTTTTGGAAGGCGGGTCTCTTTGGGGGAGGACAGCTCACCCCGCTCTATGGCAGCATCCAAACACTGAGCCCCTAAAAGCAGAGGAGAGAAGGCAACCCGGGACTGGAAAGAGATAGGAGGTGGGCGAATGCCGAAGAGAAATTTTGTTTTGCAATTTGACTTAGAGTGGATCTGCCCCTTTCTTCCCCAACCCAAACTCAAGGTAGTCAACTCTCTGCTTTAAATTCTATTTGTTAGAGGTTTCTTGAATGCAGAAGCAAACATTGTGTGAGTTTGGTAAGGCGGGATCATTGGCTATCTATACCTTAGTGTGAGGTGTCAGGAAAATAATCTGATTAAAGGAGGCAGGTACCCTAAGGAAATGGGGAATTTGGCCAGTGTTGTCCCAGCACTTTCTTAACTCTACTTTGTGTCTTGTGTTTGGCCCTGGTATAAGGAAATGAAAAGAAAAAATGAGTTCTACAGCATGAACTTAGGAGTCTTCAGAGGGCATTAGAGTTCCTTATTCGACTTCGTTCCCCTCCCTCCCCCACTGGTTTCAGAATTGCTTTTAAATATATATATATATACTTCAAAGAGGGAGGGAGAGAGAGATGGAAACATCAACGATGAGAGGGAATCGTTGATCGGCTGCCTCCTGCACACCCCACACTGGGGATCGAGCCCCCAACCCCAAGCATATGCCCTGACTGGGAATCAAACCACAAGCCCCTGGTTCATAGGTTGATGCTCAACCACGGAGCCATGCCGGCAGGGCCAGAAATGCTTCTTTATTGTTATTATTTATAGGTCTTTCCTGTAATTATTTAACCAAATTGCCATGCAACACAATAGTAGCACTTCTTTGGAAATACCATTGGACAGGAAATGTGATATTGACACAGATACAGAATCAGCATCCGCCCCCCCTGGCCCCCGCCAAGAACTTCATATCATGGCTTGCAGTTAACAGGTCCTGAGTAGATATTTTGTGAATGACTGATTGAACAGTGAATGATTTTGTCAACTGCCCATTCACTTTCTTGGAGGTTTGCTAGGATATTTTCATTCCACTCTGTTCTTTGTGTACACCGTTGGTTATTCATGGACCATCGTCATCAGTCATCACTTCACTCGGGACATTGCACCAAGACACAAGGTGTAGGTTTCCTGTTTGAGGGGAGAACCACCCTGTTGCTCCATAACTGCCCCTTTCCTTTGCAGGATGAGGAGCAGCGAGAGATGTCCGCCTCCGCCGCCTTCATAGACCAGCATTACGGGCACCTGGTGGACGCTGTGCTGGTGCGGGAGGATCTCCAGAGCGCGTACAGCCAGCTCAGAGCTCTCTTAGAGAGCCTGAGCAAGGACACTCACTGGGTCCCCATTAGTTGGGTCAGGTAACTATATCCTAGAACAGCCCCATTGGAGGGGACCTGGAAGACCACCTAGTCCAGCCATGTTACCATCAAGGAATCCCAGGTGTGGAGAGGGGCAGAATTTTCCATCAACCAGAAGAGCATATGTGGGCAGTCCCGTTCATTGGGTTTTATCTGTTGTTTTCCACTATAACTCCCTGGAGCAGAAACTGTGAGTTGAAAGGGGGCATAGCACACAAGAACACATTTCCTTCATTAAAGTGTCACAGGCAAGTTGACCCTGATTCTTTGTACCAGAGTTAAGTAGCCCCTGTCTCTTGGGGATGGGGGTGGCGGGTTTATACAGTGCCGATCTGCAGGGATGTAGGCTTTAGAAGTCGGGTGACGCCTCATGGATCCCGCTCTGTTGGAAGTTGAGTTGCTTTACCCAAGGGGATTTTTCCATGGAACTGAAGTCCCCCTGTCTCCAAGCATCACAATGTGAATTTTCACCTTGTTGAAGGCAAGTGCTTGCCGGGCACTGGAGAACTTGCTCCTCTGCCTTCTTAAGCAGTGGGCATACATGCACTTCTACGGAAGACGGAGGCACTGTGCTGACACAGGGAGGTGTTTTCAGGGACTACTGAGGAAGGCAAGGCTGCTTGTCCCCTTTCTAAATAGCCCAAGACTCCTACAACGGAGCCCTTGCTTTGTCTGATTGGTTCTGATCCATCCCTTGTCCCTCTCATTACTGACAGCGGTGCTGGTTCTTGCCTGTCCCTACCTTCAGATGCTAGGGCTTCCTGTCGGGCGAGATCATGGGAAACCAGATGATCCCTCTTGTCGAAACTGTGTCTGAGTCAGGATACATCAGTCCTGACTGTGAACATCAGATTATATAGACTCTGAGTGAGTGGCTAATGGTCTCTCTCTTGAGCAAAACTGCCATACAGGATTTGTGACATATCTTAGCTGCTCGGAGAATTTTATTTCTTATTAATAGCCAACGTATGTCTTTATTCTGTGCTGGGAGCTATGCTGTGGCCTTTAAGTACATTACTTTGACAAATACTCTAAGCCTATAACATAAGATTCTATCATCGCTGTCAAACAATAAGAATAATAAGGCTTAGGAAGTTTAAATAACACGTTCAAGCTCACACAGCTTTAAATAAATGGCAGCGCTGTAGTATTTGAGCCCAAGTCTCCCTAATACCAGAGATGGCCATTTGTCACTATGCTATACTTTCATTGTTTTTGTGGATCCATAATTGAGGCTACCTGTTAAATAATTGGCTTATAAGTGAGGAATGTGTTCACAGCTAGGATTTACAGTAACATGCAGTGTGGCTGTAGCTTCTCCTACTAAAAAGAGGCTCTTACACTTGTACATTTTCAAGCTCTTTTCCTCATGAGAAGAAAAGGCGGCCAGGTTAAGGGCGAAGCGCCATGGAGAAGGTTTGGAAATTTCCATTTTGCCTTGTTACCCAAGGACACATTTGCAACTTTCTATCTAGCTCACTAACCTGGTGGGTTCACCTGACAGGATCACATTCTTTATTTTATTTTTTTAAATATATTTTTATTGATTTCAGAGAGGAAAGGAGAGGGAGAGAGAGATAGAAACATCAATGATGAGAGAATCATTGGTCGGCTGCCTCTTGCACGCCCCACGCTGGGGATCGAGCCTGCATGTGCCCTGACCGGGAATCGAACCATGATCTCCTGGTGACTAGGTCGACACTCAACCACTGAGGCACGCCAGCCGGGCAGGATCACGTTCTTTAGACCTTTCTAGCAAAAGGATGAGGACCGCTTTGCACTTACAGAATATTGGATTCTTATCAAGTGAAATTAGTCTGGAGCTGTCTCACATAGAACCAGGGCAGGAGGCGCAGCTGCCCCATGGTGAGAATGACACATGCAAGGTTGTGTGTATTTCACAGGAGAGCCGTGATCTAAAGTCAGCTCCCAGGCAGAAAACAGGTCAAAATTACTCTGGAAAAGTCCCCTTGGGAGGCACGTTGGTGGAGATCCTCACCATCTCTTAGTAGGTGCCACCCAGATGCTTTTCCTCTGGAGGAGGAACACGGGGGTTGAGCACCGGGTGACTTTTTGTTGTTGTAATTTCATACTATTCCGCAGCCATTTTCTTCTTCTTAATATTTTTATATAATTATCAGAGGAAATGGTAATAATTCTCTTTATGTACATGATGAAGCAAAGCATTGAAACATGATGCCTGCTTTATTTCCCTATCGAAGTAGTTTTCCAGCTTTCCCCCCACCCCTAAGACAAGCTGTGCCTACAGCTGTTTGCTGTCTGTGAGAATAGAATGAATAGGGCCCCGGAGGCAGCGGTCCATTTATAAAGTGTTTCTCCTGTTTGTGAAAAGCAGAAGAGTGGTGTTGAAAAAATGCATCTGTTTACACATATATATTGGTGGAACGTGTGTGAATGCGACTCCAACTCCCATTCGAGCTATTAATTTATACTTTCTGAGCTCCTGGGCAAAAACTTCACACAAGTCCATCAGTCTGGGCCTCCACACCAATAAATCTCTTTATTACATACTCCTCAAGATGTATCCTTTTCCCCCCACCTTGGGCTTTCAACCTCAGATAAACTCTCTGCCTGTGTCTACAGCCAGAGAACTTGTGAGCTCTAGAGGATTATTCTAGGTCAGGGATGTTAAATGGGTGGGGCATATGTGCTGCAATCACCCATTCTTGCACTCATGGCAGACATTACTAATTGATCACAGCACTCTCCTGCTGAATCTAGGCACTGCTTTCCTATCTTTCCGGACACAATATCCAGTATCAATTGAGCGGAATTAGCCAGTGAGTCAATCCTGTTTGCCATCCATGATCCAGTGATTTGTAACCTCCTCTGCCACCCACTCCACTCCCTGCAGGAGATGGGTTTAGACAGTTACAACCACTTGTCCGTCACAGGTCGTGCTCAGCTATGTTAAACATTAGTTGATCATGTTTGTATGTACCATTGTAGTTTCAAATAATTATACATGTTTTAAGACATGTGGCCCATCAAAATTTTGCACCCACTTATCACATCATTTATGCCACCAAACACAGGATCATGAATCCAAAAAATGATAGCACTTGTCAATGTGTTTATTAACTAAAAACCAGCATATGTACAAAGCCCATTCTCGAATCATACAGTTCGGAACCAAGAGGCATGTTCTATCCGGTAGACTTATTATGGATCCATTTCTTACTCTGTCCTGCCTTTTGAGCCTCATTCTAATTTGGGGAAATTTCCTCTCTTATGAATTCTGGTGAGAAACAGAACCTGTGTCCAGAAGTGGGAAAGGTCAGTTACTCATTTTCTCAGCCTCCCTTGCAGCTAAGGAATGGACATATGATCTGAGTTACACCCATCAGAAATACCTCTACTGACTTGGAATTGGGAGCTCGTGACACAACATGGCAGAGACAATGGAGACTTTTCAGACACAGCAGTTGCCGGTCAGCAAGACTGAGTTCTAGTGGAGCAGGCCTGTAGCACCCACAGACCAGTTCTACAGCAAGATTTGGGGTGTTGTTCCTTGATGTGCAGCTTGAAGCTTGGTTCTGCAGTTTTTTTTAGCAAGTATTGTTAATTCATATTCTTTTAATAAATTATTTCACTACTTAAATCAGACCAAGTCAGTCTCTGTTGCTTGAAACTAAGAATTTTAATTGATGGAGGCTGCAGAGACAGAAGGGACAGAATCACAGGTTGGGGGGCATATTAACATACTTTGCATGCCATGTTTAAAACTATGGCTCATTCTGGAAGGAATGGCAAGTGACAGAAGGTGTCAAATTAGAAAGTGCTAGGGACATATTTTTGCATCACTAATACAGTTGTAAATCACAAGCTCCTGAATATGAGCAGTAACACACACAGACTGAGAAGTAGGACTGGTAGCTTGAAAATATGTAGCGAGGGGGAAGGGATGAAAGGAGGAGTGAAGTGAAGGATGGCCACCAGGCTTCTCACTGAATGTCTAGACTGGTGGTGGTTCCTCGAACAGAGATGAACTGGAACCAGTTCAATAAGGGATTTATATTTGGACATATGTCTTCTTTAAACTTGTCATGCTGAGATAACTGTAGATTTCCATGTGTGTGATAAGCAATACAGATAGATCCCGTGGACCCCTTACCCACTTTCCCACATGCAAAAACTATAACACAAACAGGATATTGACAGTGATATGGTCATGATACAGAATACTTTCACCCTTGATATATTGGACATCATCAAAATTAAAATACTTTGCTCTGTGAAAGACTCCATGAAGATGACAAAAAGACAAATTACAGACGGGGAGAAAATATTTTGCAAATCACATATCCAAATAAGGGCTTGTATCTAGAATATACAAAGAACTTTCAAAATTCAATATTTCAAAAAAGAACAATCCAATTAGAAAATTGGCAAAAGATACGCACAGACATTTCACCAAAGAGGACAGACAGATGGAGAATAAGCACATGAAAGATGTTTAACTTAATTAATTAGAGTTATGCAAGTTAAAACCACATGAGACGTCACTACACACACATTAGAATGACTAAAATAAAAATGGTGATAATATCAAATGCTGGTGAGGATGTGGAAAACTGGATCACTCCTCCATTGCTGGTGGAAATGTAAAATGGTATACTACTCTGGAAATTGTTTTGTAGTCCCTTTTTATTTATTTATTTACTTACTTATTTTATTATTTTTTAACTCTCACCTGAGGATATTTTTTCCATTGCTTTTTTCAGAGAGAGTGGAAGGGAGGGAAGAGAGAGAGAGAGGAAAATTTTGATGTGAGAGACACACATCAACTGGCTGCCTCCTGCACACCCATGCCCTGACCAGGTGGTGGGGTGTGAACCTACAACCCAGGTACATGTCCTTGACTGGGAATCGCACCTGCAACTAACTCTTCGGTGCATGGGACAACATTCTAACCACTTAGCAACACTGGCCAGGGCTGTAGTTCCTTTTTAAATGGACTAACATGCAACCCAGCGCTCTTGGATATTTATCCCAGAGATACCAAACTTATTTTCTTGCAGAAACATTGTGTACAAATGTCCATAATAGTTTTATTCATAACAGTAAAAAAACTAAAAACTACCCAATGTCCTTCAGTGGGTACATCCATATCATGGGATATTCATCAGCGATAAAAAGGAATGAACTAATGGTACACACAACTTGGATGAACCTCAAGGAAATTATATGGCGTGGAAAAAGCCAATCTCAAAAGAATGGATACACACTGCACGATCACTGATGTAACAGTCATCAGATAACATAATGATAGAGATGAAAAACAAATGAGTGATTGCCAGGGGTTAAGAATGGGAGGAAGAGGGCGGCTCAAAGACAGTAGAGTCTTTTCATAATGGGACAGTTAACTACCTTGAATGTGGTTGTCGTTACACAAAGGCACACATTCGATAACATTGCATAGAGCTGTACACACATACATGAGTGCATGTATGACTGGAGAACTGTGTACATGCTCTACGGATTGTACCAGTGCCCATGTCCTGGTTTGGTTGTACTGTTATTACACAAGAAGCTAACACTGGAGGGAGTTGAGTGACGGGTGCAGGAGGAGTCCTCCTGCCCCCCCCTCCACTCCTACCTCTGTACGTTTATCTGCAACTTCCTGTGAATCTAAATATTTTAAAATAAAGCAGTTTATTTATGATAAGAATATTATAGATTTACTGTCTCTCAAAATAAGCCAGGCTCAGCACCAACATGACCAGTCATAGAAGCCACTCAATGTGGTCTTGCCATATGGTTTAATATATTTTTGATATTTTCACGGTTGCTACTTCTTATAAATGAACACGGTACGTGGGAAGTCGACGAGCATTTTTTCCCGATTCTGCATATTCACAGGGAACTAACGGCATACGTTCTCTGTGTTGTCTGGACCCTAATTTCCTGGTGTGCTTCTGTTTTCCATTTTTTAAAAAAATATATATTTTATTGATTTTTTTACAGAGAAGAAGGGAGAGGGATAGAGAGTTAGAAACATTGATGAGAGAGCAACATCGATCAGCTGCCTCCTGCACACCCCCCACTGGGGATGTGCCTGCAACCAAGGTACCTGCCCTTGACCGGAATTGAACCTGGGACCCTTCAGTCTGCAGGCCGACGCTCTATCCACTGAGCCAAACCAGTTCGGCACTGTTTTCCATTTTGATGGAGCTGAACTTGTGGCTGGATCATCTCACCCCACCTTTTCTTCCCCCAGAATGGTGATGATGGTTTATGTCTTAAAAAGTTCTCTCTCATTAAAACTTCTTTTCATAGCCCCAAATAAAAAATGCTTGTTGCCTCTTTTCTTCCGCCTGCCCCATTCTGTCTCCATTTTGGGATGGGACTTAAAGCCATTGGGTACCTTAAATGTAACTTACTCATTTTGTGTTTCAAGCTTTATTGTAGCATCCCTAAGATTGAGCATGCAGCCATTTAGGAGTGTCTTGAGATTCCAAACAGCTAAGAAATCCTAGGGCCTTCTCTTGTGTCTGTTCTGTGGGGAGTAACCTTGTATTCGGGGAGAAGCGAGGGAGAGAGAAGTAGAGAAGCATCAATTATACAGAATTATTCTTTGGAAAGCCCGAGTGTCCATTTATCCCTCTCCCCGGGGTAGGGGTGGGGAGTGGGGGGCCAAACTTAGTCGTTACTAACAATGTTCAATCATACAAAATGCCAACACAACAATACTTTTGAATAGTGACAGAGACCTGTAATGTAACTTTGGCACAACATTAAAGCCACGAGACCTCCTGTTTATATCTGCTTGGAACAAATCACTTCCCCTTAGACATGTAAAGCCTCAAAGCTGATGACAAAAGACAGTCATTTCCTACTTAAATGGAGAGAAAGCAGAGACAGAGCTCGCAGGTCTCTGAATGGGTAACCAGCAGAGACTACAGAAGAGTAAATCCACCCTTTCACTGGGCCCCTCTACAGTTCTCGAGACTTTGGTATCAAGTGTTCGATATCACCATGTTCGACAGTAAAGAGCAGCCGGGTAAGACATACCTATCCAGCTTGGTAGAAAAGATACTTTGTTGTATTTTTGATATAACGTCTTGACTTCTTGAAGGGAAAAAAAAAAAAAAAATCAGAACGGTTATGTCAAAGCCAGGGCGCGGGTGCGAAAGTTGAAGTTTCCAAATTCAATATTTCAGAATTGCTTACAGAAAAAGCTTCCAGATTGAAGTCAGGGAGCGGAGGTTTTAAAAATACTGCCAATGCCGCCCCCTCCCCCTCCTTGAAGGGTTACGCCTAATAAAGCCTATTAACCCCGTGTTGGATGTATACCCTCCATTCTCTTCGCTTGGACATTCAGCCTTTCTGAATGAATTGAGGGATGAAGGAAGATGCTAACGGATATCTCTCTGGAACGTGCATGCTGGCTTTGCTGCCAGGGAGAGATCCTGGGCTCCTGGATGGTTTGTTCTAGGTGGTTTTTCTTTTACCAATTATTTTCTTTTACCGATCATTTCTCATGATCTTGCCCTCGGTGGTTAATGGGCCCTCCTGAGACTGACGCTGCTCTGAACACAGACAAACTGTGCACCCCCGGGAACCTCCCAGAGCCCCCACGTGCCTGCCAGTCCATCTCCGACGACCTGCGGTCATAGTTTGGTTTGCGGTCATCCAGCCTCTTCAGAATGCCCTGGTTTTCAATGGTGATTCTCACCAGGTTCCGGTTCCTCGTTTCTCTGTTTAAGCTGAAAAAACACAGGACCTTGGTGAAAAATGAAACTGTCCTCCTGGATGGGAAGGGGGGCCATGAAGCAAGCTGTCCCCGCTGAGCCCGGAGGCCCGCGTGCCTCCCGAACCAGGCTGCACCCTGGGAACTGGGCATAGCCTTGGCCGGCTTAGATCAGCGGTTCTCAGCCCCACGGCTCACAAAGATGCCAGGTGATTGGTCTCGGGTGCAGCTTGTAAAAAGTGGCATTTTGTAAAAGCCCTTAAGGAATCCTGTGAAACAAGGATTGAGAATGTCTGATTTCTAGGATAAGGGAAGGTCTTGCCTATAGATAAATCTCAAATGGCCGGTGACAAGTTTTGTTTCATCTCATTTCCCTCAGCTTTCAAGTCAATTTCAGATACACAATGACCCAGAAAGGCGCACGCGCACGCACACGCATACACACCACACACACACACACACACACACACTCTTCCTCTTACATACACTTTTGTAGCCCTGACCACATTGCATTGTTATTTACATGACTGTATCCCCTATCAGACCTGAGTTCTTTGAGATTAGGAAATATATATATCTTATCTGGTCTCTGGATCCCAGTGCTGAGCACACAGTAGCTCAGGAAATATTTGTGGAAATGATTCTTAAGAATGCTGTGTCACCAGAACCGGTTTGGCTCAGTAGATAGAGCGTCGGCCTGCGGACTCAAGGGTCCTGCGTTCGATTCCGGTCAAGGGCATGTACCTTTGTTGCAGGCACATCCCCAGTGGGGGCGTGCAGGAGGCAGCTGATCAATGTTTCTCTCTCATTGATGTTTCTGGCTCTCTATCCCTCTCCTTTCCTCTCTGTAAAAAATCAATAAAATATATTTAAAAAAACAACAACAAAAAAATGCTGTGTCGTAGTCCCAGCGATGGTCACCACTTCACACAAGGATGTAGTGCTTTCCCGTGACAAACTCTGAATGAGACTCTGAAATCAGTCTCTCAGCTGATACAAACGCTCTTTAATGCTGGGAACGTTCCCCATTTGGGGGAGTTTTCGTTCTCCTTCACATCATCTCTTTGGTTATTCCTCAAGATAACGTCCCCTCAGTATTCCTCCCCCTGGGGAGAAGCTTGCACTGACACTGAACAATGACACGAAGAGAAGCAACACTACCTTTTGGAGAAGTACTCATTCCAGCAATCCACCTTGGCAGGGCCGCGATGGGCATTCGCAATTTTCTGACACAGTTGCTTGTTTTCATGCTCGATTTTGTTGATTCTCTTTTGTTCACCCTGGTGAGAAAGCCCACCCCTGCATGAGGACGTCCTCGCGACATTGTGCCGAGCACACAAGTCTTGGCATGGCTCTCCTCTGGGATTGTGGGAAAGGGCAAACTGAGGCCCCCCGGGGGGACTGGGAGCAGAGCTGGAGAGACTGGGGGTGATGTGTGTGGGGAGGAGGAGCATTCTCGAGTCTTTTGGTTGGGTGGGTATTTAGAAGATTCTGGGGAACTGCACCTCTTTAGGACACAGATAAAACTCAGGAAGGCACATGTGCAGATGGCAAGAACACATACCTGTAGCTTGCCCAGCTTTAAAATGTGATGTGTGCGTGTCACTGGAGGTTTGGTATCGACAGCAGGTTTCACTGGAGGATAAAAGGGAGCAATTTTATATCATAGGCGACCTCTTCGCAGCCTCAGAAAAGCTCACATTCTAGACCAGTGATGGCGAACCTATGACCCCCGTGTCAGAGGTGACACGCGAACTCAGTTTTTTGGTTGATTTTTCTTTGTTAAATGGCATTTAAGTATATAAAATAAATATCAAAAATATAAGTCTTTGTTTTACTATGGTTGCAAATATCAAAAAATGTCTATATATGACACGGCACCAGAGTTAAGTTAGGGTTTTTCAAAATGCTGACACGCCGAGCTCAAAAGGTTCGCATCACTGTTCTAGACAATGACCCTGATTAATAAACATTACGATTTTGAATTCTGACCTTAATCCAGTTCAGGAGTTTTAGTTTAATTTCCCAAACTGACATCTTTGAAGAGTTTTGAGCAGGTCAGGATGGTAAGGGCTAGAATAAGTAACATTTATGGAGACATATGTCCTTTGAATTCCATGAAAGCGCTTCTTTCCCATCCTTTCCCAGTAGGACTAGCTTGTCTATCAAGGGCTGAAGTCCTATTCTCTTCCTATCCTACTTTGGCTTTAAAGTATTTAAATGAGCCTGGCCAGTGTGGCTCAGTGAGTTGGGTGTCGTCCCATGTACCTAGAGGTCACCTGTTTGATCCCTGGTTAGAGCACATGCCCAGCTTGCGAGCTCCATCCCCAGTGGGGGGTGTGCAGGAGGCAGCCAATCGATGTTTCTCTCTCTCTCTCCCTTTCCCTTCCTCTCTCTCTAGAAAAATCAATAAAAACATTTTTCAAAAAAAGAATTTAACCCTAACCGGTTTGGCTCAGTGGATAGAGGGTTGGCCTGCGGACTGAAGGGTCCCAGGTTGAATTACGGTCAAGGGCACATGCCTGGGTTGTATGCAGGAGGCAACCAATCAATGATTCTCTCTTATCATTGATATATCTATCTCCCTCTCCCTTCCTCTCTGAAATCAATAAAGAAAGAAAAAAGAATGAATTTTTTAAAAAGAATTTAAATGAACATATCTATCAAATGAACCCTGGTGGAAGATAAATTTTGTCACTGATGCTAATGTCCTTTTGACCCAACTCAGCAGATAAGGCCACATCACCTCAAAGCCATGTGCCGGTCTGATTTGCTGTCAGCATCTCTAAGGCAGACCCTTCCCGAACCCCTAATGGCAGTGTCCAACCCAAACTGCCCACATACCTATCTCTATCCTATTCTTGTGAGATATGTAATGACCGAAGTCCAGTTTCTTCCTGAAGTCTGTGCTCTGCCTGTGATTAGAGACAATTACAGGGTAGGCTAGATACTGCAGGGAATTATTCATCTTCTCCTCCTAGTCTCACTTCAGAAATGAGGCAGCCAGGCTTCTCTGTGAGGTACTTTGCTGTCCCTATGGTGGGTTGTCATAGTTACCCAGTTGTGACATCAGGGACAGGACCAAGGGAAGGAGGAGCAGTGGCAGAGCATGCCTAGTTGTCCCCAGGCTTCTCCTGTGAAAGCTGACCTAGGCCCAAGTCAAGATGAGGAGTGAGGACCTCAGAAGCATTTTCACCTGCCTTGAGTGCAGATGCTACCAGGTACGCTGTGGGGGGCAGGGGGTGCTGGCGGCGGGGAGGTGTGGGTGCTGGGGGCGGGTGGAAGTGGAGAAAGCCACCCTTGGTTACCTACCTTAGGCTATAAGCTAAGTAGTCTCCACAGCAATGGTTCCCCTACAAGTGTGAGACCACAAGCTTTTGGGGGAGATGATGATTCTCTGAAGGATAATCGGATCCAATTTCTTCACTTCGCTCAGTTTCAGAGGAAAGTGAAGTCCAGAGCAGCAGCCAAGTTGCTCCAGATCCCAGTTAGAGGCAGGGCTGGGCTCAGACCTGGGTGTCCCGAATCCCCGGGGCCACATTTGCTTTGTGGAGGGCGGGTGGGTGGGTGGGTGGGTCAGTGAATCTACCATTTTCATGGCAGTTGGGGAGGACAGAGGTTCTGTCTTTTGCTCCTATGAGATCTCAGTAAAGGATTATCTGACATTCCCTGGCTACAGCGGGCTGGCAGCTGCTCCACTGTGGATTCCCCTCCACTGAGGGTTCATCTCCACACCAGCACCGGGTGCGGCACCTCGGGGTGCTCCACACATTTGCTGATGGAGCGGGAGGACCAACCTCTATGCAGTGCTCAGTGTTAGTGCCGGGCTCTTTTCATAAGTGTCTTTACTCTTCCAATCAGCGCGAGGAGTTAGGAACTAGTATTATTATCCCTGTTTTTCTTTTTCTCAGCAAACAGGCTCCGGGAGATTAAATGATTCCCCAGAAGCAGAACGCCAAGGCTGGCTGCACAGAGCCCACGCCTTGATGTAGGCACCAGGCTGAGGCTCAATGAATGTTGACCGAAATGTGCCCCAGAATCGGGCTTCTGGAACTTGAAGCTCCGTAGGGCCTGTAAAAGGCACATTGTCACTCAGAGGGCCTGAGCTGGGCAGGGAGTCTCTCCCACAGGCTCCTGGGGGTGCCGACGCTGCTGGTGCGCAGTAGGAAGTCAGAGCGCACAAGCGGAACCCCGATAATCATAAAAAAATAAGCGACACTCGGGTGTACCCCGGTCCATAGGAACGTTTATTGTGCCTCGCATTTGATCTGATGGCGTTACTGCGCTTCCCAGTTGATGGTGATACCGGGTGGGAAAGGACCGCCTCCCCCGCCCCGCTCCGCCCAAACGCGGGAGTGGTGGCGCTTCCGCCCCTGGGGACGGGCCAGAGGGCTTCCTGAGGTTCGCTGGGTGCCGGGCGGCGCGCGTCCTTCCCGGCGGCGGATCGCGTGTGGCCGCCGGTGATCCGCGGCTTCCAGGGCCCGGCGGACCCGCCTCCGGGGCGGGGAGGGGCGGGGAAGGGCGGGCCCGGGCGCGGGAGCTCCCGCCCAGCTGACCAGGCCGCTCTCCCCTTGCTGGTTGCCGCCCCGGCGTGCAGGGCCCGGACGCCGCCATGTCGGGCCCGTTCGAGCTCTCGGTGCAAGATCTCAACGACCTGCTCTCGGACGGCAGCGGCTGCTACAGCCTCCCGAGCCAGCCCTGCAACGAGGTCACTCCCAGGGTCTACGTGGGCAACGCGTGAGTCGCCGCTCCGAGTCCCAGCCCCGCTGGGCCCTCCCCGGAGCGCATCGCCCACCCGGGAGCTGGGGAGGGGGCGTGGGCGACTGCGGGTTGGGGGAGACGGGGCGGGGTCGCCCCTTCCGAGCTGCAGCCGGGACTGAGCCGGGGCTGGGCATGGGCTGGGCGTGGGCTGGAGTCGCCGCCCACCCCCACGCGGGGGGCGGAGGGGCTGGTCCCCGCCCCGGCCCCGCGGGGTCCTTCCCTTCCGGGGACGCGTAGAGCCCCGGGGGCCGCTCGGCCAGCGCCACGTGCGGCCCGCAGCCGCCACCCGCTGGGCACTCGGCCTTGGGTGGGGTCGGGCTACCATGTTCACTAACAGGTGGCCTCGGTCGCCCGGCCGGACTCAGGCCGGCGAGTCATGTGACAGCTGCCTGGTTCTGCAGTGAGGTCACCGCGGATGTCTGCCTTCGCTGCCATGGCAACGGGCTGACGTCACAATCCGGGCGTGGAACATTTCCCGGTTGGGCAAGTCCAGATCTAGGAATCGAAATACCCCCAATGAGGGGGCATCCAGAGAGCTGGACCAGGGTTTCCTCGCTCCTTCTCCCACCTTCCAGCTAGGGTGTGATTTACATGGATTCTAGAATGATCCAGCGATAAACCCCATAAGGACCTGAGCCATCCCTTAGAAAAGGCTCTCCAGAAAATGCATTATTTATCACTTGCGAGTTCTTGAATTGATTTTCTCATTTTCTGCTAGCCAAGTTCCTAGTAAGAAATTCTCAGCAGCAGGAGAGAATCAGTGTTAACCATTGTGAGAGGGGCTGAAATAGCAGCCCAAGGTAACGGCCAGATTGCCCAGCCTGTACAGCGTTTGGAGGCTCCAGCTGGGCTTTCAGATGACCCTGAGGTTACCAGTGTCCTGAGAACCATGGGCCCGGGGGCTGCATTTTAGAAACCCAGAACTACTCCCCTTCTCTTGTTTTACACACACACACACACACACACACACAGAGTGGCAACCAAGCAAGTGGCTGAGGGAGTGTGAGGACAGCATCAGTGTCTTATGTCAGTATCTTCTGGGACCTGGACTAGGGCTTGATGCCAAGAACTGCCGCAGAAATGGGGGTCATCTTGGAGCTTGAAGGGGTCCATAAGGCAGGTCCCAGCCTCATTCATTGCATCATTCACTCACGATATGAGTACCTGTGTGTTAGGCAGTGTAGAGTGTTCGTTCATAGTAGTGATAGGAATGATAATGGTAAATTTATTGAATGTTGAATTAGTATTAGGGAAAGGAGATGGATGGTAGTGACTCTTCACAGTTATTTTAGTGTTTGTATTGAGCCACTGCTTTACCATCGCATAAAGTGCCAGGAGTAGGGATAGATCAAACAGAGCCCTAGGGTCACAGCCAAAGGCTTCAGTAATGGCCAAGTTCTGAGGAGGACCGCCTCTCAGCCACCCAAGCAGCAGGCGGCCTGGGCACCCTCGGAAACCTTGATCTCTCGGGCAGTTTGGCACGTTCAGTTGTCACCACTTCCCAACTGGAAACGGAGATTGTGAACGTCTCGTGGCAGCCAGAGTGGCTAGTGCTGCCGGCCACTGTAGAGAACACACTCCTTGCCCTCTAAGCAAATCTGACCTTGACTTAGCCAGGGGTGTGCCGGGCGCCTGGCAGAGAGGATTGACTGAGTCCCTAGTATCCCCCCACCCATCGGGAGCCCCTTAACAAAACCAGGGCTCCTGATCCGGGCTCAGAGGGCAGAGAGGAGCTGGGTGAGCCACGTTTTCCGGGTGACGGGATTTGCAATGATGTGGGCATGAAAGACAGTGAGGGGGAAGACAGAGCAGCTCAGCTGGTGTCAGGAGAAAGGAGGTCTCCCCCCAGCTCTGCTGCTCAGCAGCCCACGTGAGCACATGCGCACCGTCTGCTGTCCTGTCAGGCCGGAGTTTAAGCGCCCTCCTTTCTTCCTCACCGGGCTGACTCTGTGACAGGCAAACCAGACCCTGTCGGACAAGGCGTTTGGTAACATATGAAAGGCTGTTTGAATTGGGATGTTGTTGTGAGATGAAATAAAGGAGCCCTTTGACTATTCAGGTCACATGTGTTGTAACCCCTGTCAGTCCTGTTGGGGCCATTGCTCTCAAAGTGTTTACTCACCCAAGAACGCATCAGCAAGGCAGCTAGTGGCCTGTGGCAGGAAGGACTCCTCTGGGGGTGGGAGGAGGCTGCCATCCAAGGAAGGAGGCAGCCCGGGACATGCTGAGTTCATTCTTCTTCACGGATGTGCCACATATTCATTCAGCGGCTACTGGGTGCCAGGTACCATAGCAGGTGCTGGGCATACAGACCTGAAGCAGAGATGGTTCTTATGTCACAGAGCTCACTGCCTGGACATTAAACAAATGGGCACAGTCAAGTGTTAGAATAGGAGCACTGATTCAGTGTCTGTCTCTGTCTATAGAATAGAATAGACCTCATTTAGCATTCACAAATCCCAGGGGTCATCCCCATTTTACAGACAGGGAAACCGAGTCACAAAAAGGTTAAGTGACTTGCTCACTGTTGCCTGGCTGGTAAGTGGCAGAGCTGGCTGGATTCGGAGCCCATTCTTAGCCACTTGGCTATACCAGCACCACAGTATAGGGCGCTTGAGGCCAAATGGAAGGGAGGAAATCAAGAAATACTGGTACTGCAGAGAGTGGTGAAAAACGAGAGGGTGCATGTCCATAGAGAAGGGCATTCTAGGCAGAACAGCTCAGGCATGAACCCAGTCTATTTGGGGCAGCAACTGGTAATGAGATATCACTGGGGTGAAGGACGAGGGGCATCAGATGAGGAGAAGCTCTGGCAGGACCAGAGCACGGAGGGTTTCTTGCTTTGCCAAGAGGCTTAGCATCTTCTCCATCTTCCTCCCCCTGGGATTGCCAGTTGGTCCGTTAAGCATCCCCTGTCGATGTCCCCTGTCTAGGTCTGTGGCTCAAGACATCTCAAAGCTGCAGAAACTGGGCATCACCCACGTCCTGAATGCTGCCGAGGGCAGGTCCTTCATGCACGTCAACACCAATGCCAACTTCTACAAGGACTCTGGCATCACCTACCTGGGCATCAAAGCCAACGACACTCAGGAGTTCAACCTTAGCGTCTACTTTGAAAGGGCTGCAGACTTCATTGACCAGGCCTTGGCTCAAAACAATGGTAAGGAAGCCACCCCCCAGGAAACGATGGGAGGCAGCTTTTTTAATTTTTAATTTATCTGCATTGTTTGAAAGTATTACAGATGTCCCTTATTGTCCCCCCAAAGGGGGGCAGCTTTGGCTGGACTTTTTCTTGGCAAACCTGTTGTTTCCTGTCTCCTGTGATGAATGACTGAAAGCTTTAAGTCTGTCAAGTGGCCCCACGTGACACAAGATGTACAAACCTTTCACACAGTGGCAGCCTCAGGGTCCTCGTGTTTGATTTGACTTTGACGGAGGGTTCATTTCCAGCACTGACCCTCCCTCCCGCCCCAGTTCAAAGAGCTTCTGTAGTGAAGTTTCAGTTCCCAGGATAAGAAGTGCTGAGGTGCCGGAGCTCCAGGCTGGTTGATTCGGAAGCTCAACGGTGGCATCAAACTAAGTGCTTTCCCACTCTCTCTCCTGCCACCCTCAGTGTTGGGGACTCCCTAAGGGTCCCAAGGTGCTGCAGCTTTCTGGCTGCCACTTCCCAACAGGACAAAACACAGCAAAGGGTGCAGCAGCCATCACTTCCTCATGTTTCTCTCATTTTAAAAAAATGTTTTTTAAATTGATTTCAGAGAGGAAGGGAAAGGGAGAGGGAGAGAGAGAGATGGAAACATCAATGATGAGAGAGAATTATTGATCGGCTGCCTCCTGCACGCCCCTCACTGGGGATCGAGCCCACAACCTGGCCAGGTGCCCTGACCGGGAATTGAACCATGACCTCCTGGTTCACAGGTCGATCGATGCTCAGCCACTGAGCCACACCAGCCGGGCTTCTCTCATTTTTTAAGAGCAAATAAAACATTCCCCAGAAATCCTCCAGTGCGATTTCCCGCACATCTCACTGGCTAGAGTTGGGTGATACGAGCATCTGCCAAGGGGAAGGGGCAGCCATGAATGGCTGAGGCTGGGGATCAGCACACTGCAGCCCACACACCAAATCTTCAAGTCAGATTTTAAATGCCTCCTGCAGCTCCGAAACGTAAGGTAAGACTGAAGCAGACCTGCTGAGGCGCTGGCAGCCGGGCGAGGCACGCCCGAGAGAAACCCTAGAAGGCCAGGGCAGGTATCTGCTGAGTGGGCTGGGCCCCTTGCCCTTTGTGCTGTCAGCTGTTTCTCTCAGCAGCTGTCTTTGCCTTCCTGCTGCCTCCAGCCTCGTCCTTCCTCCCCGCCCCAAAACCACCCAGGGGAAGTGAGCCCCGTTGAGGTGTGACCGACCCTGTCCCCCTGATGCTAGCCTGCCTCTGCTACACGGATGCTTCTTGGGCCAGCAGCTTCCCCACTGAAATGATAGCCAGTGAACAGAGTCCTCTAGATGCTGGTTGTCTCATGGTCGGGGCCCAGGAGGGAAGTTTGGACGCCCGGGGAATCTGCCGACTTTACCATCAGGCCTTTCATGGTCGTCATGGTCCCGCATGTGTCACCCCCTCCACTCCAGCTGTTCCGAGCTCCTGTGTGGGTGAGAAGGAGGGTCCCAGTGAAGGGGATGGATGTTGCTCTTGTGTGTTGGTTAGGCACCCACTCGGGGAACTCCGACTTTGTTTCCTCTTTTCATACAACTAGGAACATACCCCGCCTTTTTGTGATCACCGGCCTTAGCTCACAGGGCCTAGGTCAGTGGTCAGCAAACTGTGGCTCGTGAGCCACATGCAGCTCTTTGGCCCCTTGAGTGTGGCTCTTCCACAAAATACTACATGCGGGCGCGCATGTACAGTGCGATTGAAACTTCGTGGCCCAGGCGCAGAAGTCGGTATTTTGTGGAAGAGCCACACTCAAGGGGCCAAAGAGCCGCATGTGGCTCACGAGCCGCAGTTTGCCGAGCCGCAGTTTGCCGCCCACTGGCCTAGGTCATCAGTCTGGAAAGTTCTCCCTGCCTCTCCTGACGCTGTCCTCTGGCAAACCCTACTGCGAGCTGTAGCGCTGGCCTATGTCCTCTCCTCCATGACACCTGCCCTCAGGCTGGGTCCACTGTGTGGCTTCTCTGTCTCCGCGGCGCCTGATGTAGCGTTGGGCACATGGCAGGGACACTAAGTGATGACTGAATAAGTGACTGGAATGAATCCCGTGGGCTGTAATGCCAGCTGTCAATGCTTCTGAGATTGGCCAAGTGGGTCAACAGAAACTCACTGTCCTCCCACAGTGTGCAGGGCTCAGGGGAGTCAGGGGCCCATCACTTTGGAGAGTTAGGGAGATGGCCAGGGGTGCTCAGGAGGGAACAGTCACTTGCAGCCCGAATGATCAAGGGAGGCTTCCCTGAGGAGGCGGCGTCTGGGGGGCCTGGAAGGATGGGCTTTGAACCCTCCTTGGCCCTGTGAGCCCTGGCTGTGCTGAGTGTTCCAGGTGGTGAGGCAGCTGTTCTGCAACTGGTCCCGTGACCAGGGCTGGGGCAGGGAAAGCCCCACTCTGAGGACTTAGGGTCCGCTGGCCGGAGAGAGGATGGGCAGGAAAGTGGAGGACTCCCCCTCCTGCTTTGGGAGGCAGTGGGAAAATGCCTGTGTTTTGGGGACAGGGTTCTAGGAATAGAAGAGGGAGAGGAGGAGATAACCATGCCAGGTGGGGGCCAGATGCTGCAAGGCCGTGTGGGCCATTTGGGGCGCCATGAAATGGTATGTTTGATTTTTTTCTCTTGGTTTGTTTTTGCATTTGCGAGTTGGGTTCCTTTTATTTTTAAACTGCTTTGTTGAGGTATAACTGACATTGAATAAACTACGCGTAGTGTAATTTGGCAAGTTTTGACAGGTGTATACACTTGTGAAACCATCACCACAACCAAGATAGTGAGCATATCCATCACCCCCCAAATTTTCCTCTCTTTGTGACCTCTCCCTTCCGCCCTCTGTTCCCTCCATTCCTGAGCAACCACTGATCTGCTTTCTATCACCAGACCCCGGTACATTCAGTAGATTTTTATATAAATGGAATCACACAGCATGCATGCCTTTTTGGTCTGGCCTCCTTCACTCAGCATAAGTACTTCATGTTTCATCCATGTTGTTGCACGGTCAATAGCCCATCCTTTTTAATGCTGAGGACTATTTGGTCATATAGATGTAGCACAATTTGTTTATCCGTTCACCTGTTGATGGACATTTGGGTTGTTTCCATGTTTTGCTTTGGACTGAAATACAAGATTCATATGGAGAAGAGGTCATGTCACAAGTATGTAAATCAGGGCACTGCACACACCCATGTACCAACCCCCGGATCAAGAGGTAATAACACAACCAGCACCCCAGAAAGTCTATAACGTGTCCCGTCTTAAATCCCTCTGCTCCTAACTCTTTACCACTGTCTAGTCTTCTAACAGCACACACCAGTCAGGCTGCTGTCCTAATCTGTGGCATCATACACATTCTATTGGTGTGTTTCATCCACGTGGTTTCTGATAACTTAAGCATGTCTAACATGTGGCCCGCCGGCCGCGAGTTTGACATGCTTGGGAGATTGTACATTCTTGTTCTTTATATATATATATATATATATATATATATTATTGATTTTTCACAGAGAGGAAGGGAGAGAGATAGAGAGTTAGAAACATCGATCAGCTGCCTCCTGCACATCTCCCACTGGGGATATGCCCGCAACCCAGGCACATGCCCTTGGCCGGAATCGAACCCGGGACCCTTCAGTCCGCAGGCCGACGCTCCATCTACTGAGCCAAACCGGCTTTGGCACATTCTTGTTCTTTATCCATTCTGCCATTGATGAGCCTTTGGGAGTCCCCACACTGGGACTATTGTGAATGAGCGTTCTGGTGCATGTCTTTCGGTGAATGTGGGTGTGCGCATTCCTGCTGGGCATGGATCTGGGGCGGAATTGCTGGGCCATAGGGGCTGCATGGGTTCCGCTGGAGTAGATATGGCTTCTCAGTTTCCCAAAGTGATGTGCCAACTTGCACCCCCCTCCCCAGCCACATGTCAGAGTCCTGGCTGCTCCGCATCCTCACGGACGCTTCGTGTTTTCTGTCTTCTTCATTTTAGCTATTCTGGTGGGCACAGAATGGCCTCGCCTTGTACTTGTCATGTGCATCTGCTGGGAGAATTTTGAGTCATGGTGTGATTGGATGGCCCCAGCTCACCGTGTCACCCCCTTTCTTACAGGCCGTGTGCTGGTCCACTGCCGTGAAGGTTATAGCCGCTCCCCAACTCTAGTGATCGCATACCTCATGATGCGTCAGAAGATGGATGTCAAGTCTGCCCTGAGCATCGTGAGACAGAACCGTGAGATCGGCCCCAATGACGGTTTCCTGGCCCAACTCTGCCAGCTCAATGACAGACTAGTCAAGGAGGGGAAGTTGAAACTCTAGGGCACCCCCACTGCCTCCTCTCCAGAGGTTGGACAGGGGGAGCCCTGGCTGAGGTGTCCGTAGCTGCCACGTTTAGGAAACACAATGTACCCTGCTCCCAGCATCACCAGGCACTTGCCCACAAATCTGTCCCAACACCGCCCTGGGCCTCTTTCCCCCTGGGGAACATATAAAGAAGCTTGCTGAGGGACAGTCTTGCTCCCTGGTGTGTCCTGTGCCTGCAATTTATGGTGTCCTCTCCCTGACGTGGGGTCGCGGAGGGGGAAGACCTGCGACATGCATGCTTCTGGAGGAGCCAGGGCAGGTCTGTGGAAGTGTGAGGCCTGCAACGCTCACAGGGGCCCTCCTGGCCTCCCCGACTCCTTACGCCTGGGTCCTGTCCTGAGTGGGGACTGTAGCACCTCGAGCCTTGTAAAGGAACTATGCAAACTCGGGCCCCCCTCGCCCCCGTGTCTGTCTCCCCCGGGCTCCTTGCAGCCGCCCATCCCCTGCTTGCAGGCAGAGGCACTCCGTGAAGTCTGAAGCTGGCGTGGGTGAAATTCCCGCGAAGAGACCACATTTGAATTGCTCCCTTCGGATTAAAGATGCCTAGATAGACAAAGAGGCCCTCAGGCGGGCAAACGATTCCCCCCGGAGGTCTCTCCCGAATCAGCAGTTTCTAAAATGCGAACCCTTGGGAGGCTTGAGGTCCGAATCCACGGGGATATTTCCCTGGGCCTGCTCTCAGTCACTTGGCTTGTTAGAAGAGCGATGCCTTGGGCCATGGTTTATTTTTCTTTTTTAGAAAACAGGGTGTTGAAGTCCAGCCTATTTAAAAACCCCACCATTTGGAGAATTACAAGGATTTTGTCCTGAATTATAGTGTTGGCCAGCCCAAGCCACTCGTGCTAGCTGCTTTTTGTCTCGGTTGCTATTCTAAGAACAGGAGGAGGAAGTTGGCCAATTACAGTTTGTGTGTGTGTGTATGGGGGGGTGTGTGTGCGCGGGGGGTGGGGGGGGTGGTGGTCTCAGAAACACAGCCAAAGGACAGGCGAGCACGGAGATGAACGGTCCCAGGCTCACACCCTGCCCACGTACAGGTCGTTCTTATGGCTCTCTGGTGCCAGAAAAGACACTGGCCCTTCGGAGCAAAAATGACTCAGCCAGGCAGAAATGAAGCATGACGGGGCGTCCAAATGGAGCCTTTATCGGTGGTAGAGCAAGCAAGCAAACAAACAACAAGAAACAACTTTTTTTTAGGAATGCACTAGCTTACACATGTGTGCGCACGTTTGTCAGAATATAAGATTTTATTTTCAACAGTCTTGTTAGAACTTTGCATGATTGTCGTCATGGAAAGTGACACAGTGCTGTATACAGGTTCCCTAACAGCCATGCCCCCAACACCTAGCACATAGGTGTCTGTTAGAAGTCTGTGGAATTAAACGTGTGTTTTTTTTTTGAGCACCAAATATATGTAGGGCATTGTTCTGGTGGGTGTACCAAGCTCCCAGAATCCTGAATTTGTGGTAGGATCACTTGCAAAGATTTGCAAAGGAGTCTTGCCTGAAATGAAATATCAGGGACTTTTGTTGAATATTCAAAGTTGTTTTAAGTTTAAATCCAGGCGGTGTTACCACGTGGAGGTGTGGAATGTGCCTTTCTCAGTCGACCAGGAGCTTTCCGCCAGGACAAGGAGAAGCAGGCGTGCCTTTGGAACTCACTCGCAGGTGGCAAGGTCTCTATCTCGGCAGGGGCAGCGCTGCGCAGCCTGGGCTGCACTTTTCTCTGTGGCCACAGCAGCCCTGATATGCTGGCTGCCCAGAGAGAGCCACCCAAGTGAAATGGCCATCCTCTAAACTCTGTACCTCAGTTTTCAGATAACCCTCCCCCTTAATCCAGCTTGATCCTCACAATAACCCTAGCTGGTGGATCGTCATGTATTGTTACCTTAAAAGAAAAAGGAGCTGGGGTTCTGGGGTTCAGGGTGATTAAGGACATGACCCCCTACATTGCCCAGTTTAAGGCAGAATTGATGCAATATTTCAGGTTTGCTGCTTCCTGAAGCTGAATTCTTTCTCTCCTACGACACTCCTCAAGAAATGAGCTCCCCTACCCCACCCCCCACCCCCACCATGTCCAGGTGTGCTGCACCTGCCCTTGACCCAGCCCATGTGTGCAAGGGCCAGTTAGCTTTGTGGACAGAGAACGATTCAAGCTGTGGTGCCAAGGGAGGTCTAGTGAAGGTTGAGACAAAGTTGGCACAAAGCCATCCGTAGTCCAGGAACAGGAAGTAAAAGACTGGGTTCGAATGTGTGACTCTTCTAGGAAACACGTAGCATCCCTAAGCCAGAGCTTTCTGCCCCACTTCTGGAAGAGGCTCCGGATATGGGGCCCAGGCAGTGGTCACCCCACAGGACAGCCACAGCGACTTAGGAGCTCTTGAAGGCCTGTGCATGGGGGCCTGAGGGAAAAAAGTCAGTGGGAGAATTATTGCCTTTACTTTGGGACTACTTTTTGCTGATAACTGGGATTTCTTGACAGTCTGTAGGCTCAGAATCCCCATATTTACTTCACAAGATTTAGCTCCTAGTTCTTTGAGTAAAGTAACATCAAATTCTAGCGTGTAAGAGTCAACATGCGCCCAGCGCTGAGGAGAAGCTGTTCCTGGGCAGCTTTACCCCTGGGAAGTGATGGACTAGGAACTGAGGGTGCCCTCCCTCCCTCCCTGACATGATCCCTTTCTTCGACTAGCAGACCCCCAAATTAGAGCACCAGGCGTCTCCTCTGCCTAAAGCAGTACACGTGCCACAGGCTGGTCTGTTTCCCTGCCACTCTGGATTACCTGGAGAGCATAAATCAGCATCTACAAACAAGGGGACTCTGACACGAGGGTTCTCTAAGAATCCCCACTTGGAATTGACCACCACTGAAAGTTAGAGGGTGTGTCAAAATGGTGACCGCCAGGTGGCGCTGCGTTCCACCCGTGGTGAGGGATGATTTGAAAATGAATGTTGGTGCCTTCTGTGTCACAAGTTAATGTTAAGATGCTAATGTTTTAATCAGAATAAGCACTGATCTTATAATAAAGATATAAGCTTTTCTCGCAGGAGATTTCCTGTTATAAAACCGGTGTCAAGTATCACTGAAGAGCCAACGATGATGGTCCTTCCAAGTCAAGATTTTATTCTGATTGGGTTAGAGGCCGAGGCCGTCTCCGGCGGAGAGAGCAGATTGGCTGGAAGCTTACCTTCCCTCCTGTCAGCTTTCAGGGTAACCTGATTGTGAAAGTAACAAATTTTCTGGACAGAAAAGGGGGAAGGTATTAAATGGTTTGTTTTTTAAAATAAGTTTAATGTCTGTTATATCACAAATCAGTGTTAAAATACTAATACTGTAACCAAAATAAATGTCTTATATTACCAAGAAATGGTCTCTTTTCGGTCCTTATCACAGTTGGTTGCTTTTATGCTTACCTTTTATGTTTGCTTTTTCTAACTTTTAAAAAGAATCATCTAAAAATTGGCCTTCCTGAGCTAGTGATATGTTCCATGCTGATTATATTTAGACAAGTAGATATTTGCTGAACACCCTTCCAGTACCAGAAATGTCCTGTGTTAGCAAGTCTTTTTATTTATTTCATTTTAAAAATTCAGATTTATTGAGGTATAATAGACTGGAATATTCCTGAGTGCAAAGGCCCACCCCTAATGAGGGAGGTAAGATTTATGGTTCTAAGAAGTAGGGGTGGGGGTGACAGTCTCAAGGTGGCCTCACGTGAAGATGACTGGGTGGCATTTTGGGATTTGTTATCCTGCAAATGGACAGTCCCAAAACATATCCCTGACCCCAGATGCTTTAAATCCCACCATTAGCACGGTCTCCCCTACCATAAGCACTGCCTTTTTCCCTCTGAATAAACAAACTCAGAGTTGGGTGCCTTTAGGCCCAAAGTCTGGACAGCAAAAGAGCCTCTCTGGTCTTTGCTTAGAGGCACTTAGGCGAACTCATTATTTGTCAGACCGCTGGGGCAACATAACCTTTATATTTTTACACAAACTCTTAAGGCAGAGCACTAAGATGTAAAACGGGTAAAGTGTTTTTTTTAAGTATAATTTTTAAAACATTTTAAGTAATACATAGTAATCAATTCAAACAATACAAAAGGCTTATAATGAAAAGTGAACCTCCTACCCCAAACCTTCAATCCCTCTCCTCGGAGGAAGCCACTATTAGGTATATCCTAGAAAAATCATTCTTTACAATTATCTCAAAATTAAAAGATTAATTTGAAAAATTATGTTGTATAGGATGTTCATAGCACCTGTACCAAGAATAGGGGAACATGGGATGTAACCTAAACTACCCACAACAGAAGTCAGCTAAAGCCCTAGGGGTTTGCCGCCCGCAGCATTGTCTAGCTCTGAACGACAAGCTTGTGGCCTGCGTAAATATAAAGTTGAATTGATGTTAAGCAAAAAAGCAGATGGTGCCCTGGCCAGTGTGGCTCAGTTGGTTGGAGCATTGTCCCATATGTTGAAAAGTTGCAGGTTCGATCCCCAGCAGGGCACACATGGAAGGCAACCAATCGATGTTCTCTCTCACATTGATGTTCCTCTCTCTCTCTCTCCCTCCTGCCCTCCCTCCCAATCTCTATAAAAATAAATGGAAAGAATATCCTCGGTGAGGATTTAAAACAAACAGCAGATGGCATCATAGCCGGGTTGTCTCTGAGCCAATCTGTGGAAATCATGGCTCTACGCTGGCAGAGAATACGTCAAAAGTTTGGGGATAATTTAGAGATTCAAGTCCACTGGATTCTTCTCTCTCTCTCTCTCCCTCTCTCTCTCTCTCTCTCTCTCTCACATTAGATTCAAATAAAATAATGAAATAAATAAAATCCTGACCTTCGCCATCCTCCAGTAGCTGGCTTCTCCTTCCACCTCCGGCAGGTGGCAGAAGTGTTCCAAGGACGGTCCCCACGTCTCCGTTTCATGCGATGGGCCTGCCGCCTCCAACAGCGGGTGGGGCTCCGGCATCAATCCCGCCAGCTCAGGGTCTCCGGGCATCAGAATGGCCCTCTCCCAAGTCCAGGACAAGAAGGCAGTGTCCGGCCACAGTAGGGTTAACGGCTCACATTCCAGAGCAAGGGAAGCTGGAGGGTCAGAGACAGGGGAGGGGGCACGGAGGACCAGCTTCTCACAACACACGGGCTCTGTTGGGAGAGATAGATCACCCCCAACAATGGCCACAGCTGTTTTCGTCTGCCCCGAAGGAAAGACGAAGGAAGCAGGTATCAGAGAGGGCCCTTCCTGCAGGGGCTTCTGTCTGGCTTGTAAAACTGTCAGAGCAGCTGCATTCATGTGTTGAGTGATGGATGATGGAAAGGAGGAGGGACCGGTGGCCGCAGATGGACACGGCGACTTACAAGTCGAGGCAGGTGGCAGAGGCCGTGCAGATGCTCTGCAGGTGGGGCAGGCTGATTCACGGCCCAGTGAAAATACCAAGGGGACCGGAGCCACAGCCCTCTTCCCGGCCTCCTGGGGGGGGGGGGGGGGGCGGGAGCGGCTGCCGCCTCAATCCATCTGCAATGAAAGCTTCCGCTGGCGCTTTCTTTTCCTGCACCTCAGGTGTGAACCTCCTTCCCCGCCTCTGCCCCTCCCAGGCCCTCGTTCTGCTCCAGGGCTGCGGCTGGCCGGGCCTGGGAGGGCTTCATGGAGTGCGCCCCGTGGTAGGCACCCGTGAGATCTCCCAGAGAGGACTCAAAGCTGGTTTTGAAACATGTAATGGGCTGGGAGACAAGGAAGGAAAAATGTCAACACTAAAAATGTTGGCCTTGGCTTTTGCTAAGAAAAGGGATTTTGTGTTCTCCACTCCTGCCCACAGCCTGGCTGGGGAAATGACTGCCTTCGGGACGTCAGCCTGCAAGCCACAGGGAGTGTCCGGGCCCAGAAGTGCCTGTCACCATGTGAAGCATGGTAGCAACCATGCTTGGGTAAAAATGGCTGTTTAGTATTTTAACCCTGCTGACTTGGCTTCTGTCATTACTTGCTTGCTAAAGTAATAGAAAAGTTATTTTGATTTTCTGAACTTATATAAGTTATCCCATTCGATTGAATACTCCATTGACTGTGGCATGAAAACCCCCATTGATAGTGATCTTACTGGTCTTTCGAAACACATTCCTCTGCACCTGGAGACCGTGACAGCACAATGGCTCTAAATGGCCTCAGTGGCTCCAGATAATGTGTTTCCGTTGACTCAGGGGTCCCAGGACACTCACTGTGGCCTGAGAAATGGGACTGTCTGGGCTCAGCCCTCTGGAGGACTCAGAACTGCAGTTTCCTTTGTTAAGCTGGTGCCAAGTTTGTTTTGAGAAAGCCCAGGGGGGGCCCAGGGAAGTCGAGGTGAAGAGCTGGGGCTCAAGTTGATAAGTAAAAACCACCGCCGCCTGCACAGACGAGGTGCCCCCCTCTCTCTGAGTCACCGGGAGCACCGGCAGCAATTTGGGAGTTTGCTGCACTTGAGGAGAAGTCTTTGGAGAGGGCTTGCTCTGAGCACACCCTGTTCCCTCCCCCTGGGCTGAGGGAAGCATGGGGCCAGCCCTGCCCCAGCCTGTCATTGGCTGGCACGAGGCAGAGGGGGCTTTAAAAAGGCAAACGTGCCTGGGCTGGGGACTGGAGCCCGTGCTACTGGAAGGCCAGGTGCCCTCCTCCAGCTGGCACCATGCAGCTCTCTCTTGCCCTGTGTCTCGTCTGCCTGCTGGTGCACGCAGCCTTCCGCATGGTGGAGGCCCAGGGGTGGCCGGCCTTCAAGAATGATGCCACGGAAATCATCCCAGAGCTGGGCGAGTACCCCGAGCCTCCGCCAGAGCCGGAGAGCAACAAGACCATGAACCGGGCCGAGAACGGAGGGAGGCCTCCCCACCACCCCTTTGAGACCAAAGGTACGGGGTGGCAGAGAGCGCTTGTGGCACAGGGCTCCTCTGAGGGGAGGGTTCTCTTTGGGATGTTTGAAGGCTGGGGTGGGGTGGACCCTCAGGTGCTGCTGGCAATGGGTGGAGGGACAGTCTTGCCTAGAGGCAGGGAAGGATAGCATGCCAATGGAGCCCTGGAATCCAGTGCAGGGACTTGAGGCTGGCAGGGGGCTGGCAGAAAGCCTGGGGCAGGATGGAGGTGGGCAGGCTGGGTAAGGAGAAGGTTTAAGGAACCCCTTCCTGAAGTTCAGGAGTCAGTCCAGCTGCCAGCATCACTGGGGACAGGACAAGGCAAGGGAGTCTCACACCTATAAGCTCTTGCTGGAGGCCAGGTGCTCTCTGTGGGCTGTGCATGTGCTATAGCCCAGGATCGTCCACATGGGAGCCCCATGAGGTGAACTCCCAGCGTGAAGGTGAAGAAATAGAGGTTCCAGAAGTTAAGTAGTCTGGTAGTGAGTAGAAGGACTGAGATTTGGACCCAGTTTGATCCAATTCCAAAACAGCCCTGGTGGGGGATGATGGGTGGGGTCGTGGGGATCAAAAGCCAGAGCAAATCCCCCCAGAGTAGTGGGAAAGGGATGACAGAGAGGCACCTCGTCAGCTCCCCCTGCGCATGGTCGGCCTCGTGAGCTGGCCCTTGAACGGGAGTGTAGGCACCGTTTCAGCCTCTAGTGTGGGTGGCTGCTGGGCCCAGGCCCTGGAGGGGAGGCAGCAGCAGCATCCTCCGTGCAGGGAGCAGACACAGGTGTTTACTGAGCCCAGCATCCGTCCTGTGTCCCCACCTCAGACCCAGCCTTGCCCATTCCTGGGGAGGGAGCCTGACCCTAGCGAAAAGTCAGTGGCCCCGGTGGAGGGTACACCTGGGCTCCTGGTCAGGTCTGCACAGAGAAGCCTGGGGGGCGGGGCCACTGTGCACAGCTGGCAGGAACGGCTGGGGGCGGGGCTGGCTGATCCTTCAGAGTGAGGGCCTCACTGCCCTCAGGCCATTGCCCAGGTGGGAGAGGAGCCCACTTCCCAGGCTCCTGCATCCCACCCGTCCCTGCCTCACAACCACTGGGCTGCAAGGGGACCCAGGAATGAGGTGTCCACTTCCCTGGGCTCCCGCGAGAGGCCACAAGCCCCCAAGGGAGCCACTTGTCCAAAACAAAGTCACCCTCTGCAGAGGAAGGACCTGACCTTGGGGCACTATTCTTGGAAAGCCCCAAAGCCTCCTTCCCTGGGCAAATAAGCCACCCCCACCCCCCCACACACACACCCCTGCAGCCTGGAAGCAGGACGAGGGAGTCAAGCCAACCCAGAAACCAGGAGGCCGGCCACAGGAGGAAGGCAAGCCCACATGCCCCTGCTGCGCGTGCTCTCCGTGCCTGGGGGTGGCTGCCTGGCCTTCTCTGCCCCCATCTCTGGTTGTGGTCTTAGGACTATTTTTCATCCCTTGGTGTCACATGGAATGGTCC